AAAGGGCGACACATATCCCTACTGCCTCCATTGTTGGAAAAGGCCATAAACCACATGTGTGTCCTCGTAACCGTCTCTCGCCTTTGTCACAATTCCAACTCGAATAATGAGTTAAATAAAACCTTAAGAGCTTAAGAATACTTTTTTCCAGATTAAAATACACATGAATACAAATAAAAATATTAGAATAATAATAACTTAAAACACATATTAATAATTGAAATTCGCGACATAACATATTCCCCCACGCACCAGGGAAAAAAATTTTGAGCATCAAATTTTTTTTTCAAAACAAAACAAACAGCATTTCAAAATAGTACCAAGTTAGTGCCATACAAATAATCCATTCAAAACTAGTTGTCACGGAGAGCAGTGATAAAAAAAATTTAAAATTTACTTACAAAGCATTAAGTTTAACAAATTAAATTCAAAATCTAAATGCAACTCATATAACCAATTAAATAGCAACCGGAGTGATGTGTCATAAAAAAAATCCATTTGCAAAACCAGTTAATAAAATTACACAAACAAAAAAAATCACTAGTGAGGGGAAACAAAATACACTTTAAATTTCCAGTTAACCAACAGTGACAAAAAAAATCATAAATGAATTAAACACTGAACTGAACCAGAAGTTGAAACAAACGGAGAACACCCCTAGGAACGGAAAAGAGAACTTGACCAAAAAAAATTAAGCCGAAAGAATCTAGAGCGCATCTAGAAGCAAAAGGGAAAAATAAATTAAGATAAACTTACTTGAAACAAGGAAATTAAAATTTCGGACCAGCCGAAAAAATCCTTAAAAGCAAAACACTATTGTGTCAAGAACTCGAAACCGAAACTAAAAGAAATTCACACAAATGCAGACAACTCCTAGACCAAACCAGTTGAAAATACTGAGAAAAACCTTTAACTATTCTTTCAAGAAAACAAAACTAACTCTTCAAAAAAAAATCAAATTCATAAGCAATTCAAGCTCAAACCAAAAAAAATTAAATTCAGAAAATAGCCAAAATGAATCCAACAAAACAGAACTGAAGCAGGTTACACACACACAGAATTTACACGTAAACAAGAAAGTGTCCAACAAAAGGGTTTGCCACAATTTTTAAAGAAAACAATGCTGCACCAATGTTCTCAAAGTCTAGATCCTGGAGAGTAATTAAAGAAGATGAAGAGTATGCATTGCACTCTAGGTAGCAATCGTAAGCATGACTACTTCACATCAAAACTACAAAACTGCAGGCACAAAACTGCAAAAGCAAACAAGAGGGAAGTGTTTACACAAAAAAAAAATCTCAAACTCAAAATCTCAAAACTCAAAATCCACAAATCTCAATTCTATACTTCTCCTTAAATCACTTCAAAACAAAACTCCTTCAAAACAAAACTCCTTAAAATACACTAAGCCTCAAGTCAAAATCAAAACAATAAGCTATTAAGCTCAAAAATTGACAAACCAAAACAAAATCACTGTTAAAACCAATGTTAGACCACTCACAAGTAACCTCACTATGAAACTACCATTAAAACTACTTGAAAAGCCAACAGTAAGAGTAAAGAGCAAAAATAATACCTTTTAACTACATTACCACAATTCCAAACAAAACCAACTCTACCTTTTCAAAAAAAAAATCTTTTGTTTTTCAAAATTTCACAATTCAAAATTGCTGTAAAACGCAAAACTCTCTATTCTACTGTTTTCAGACATTTCTCAGACAGCAATAAATGTTCACAAAACTCACAACTAGGTAGAAAATTAATTACTCAAACTCAGAAAAGCTAAACAAGAAACTTCACTCCAGCTGAAAACTAACTTCCAAAAAAAAATTCAATCAATCCCTAAGTAAACTATCACTGGTCCCGCGCAACTTTACAAATCTAACCAAATTAACTTTAAGAAACAAACATTTCAGAATTTTCCAAAATAAATTCAAAAATCAAACTTTTAACTCAATTCTATTAGGCACAAATTCCATAAAATCTATTAACACACTTCAAGAAGTTAAAAAAAAAATTACTATTTCTCGAACACAAAAAATACTGCTCTGACATTAAATCAATTAATTAAAATTAGAAATCTACAAAGCAATTATTCAAAGTGCAATTAGCAAAATCAAAACATTAACACAAATGCAATTCTCACCAAAAACTTTAAACTAAAGGATACAGGGATCAAACATCTAGGTGAGCGCAAAAATTTCATCATTTATATCAAAATGTAATATTCATACACATAAAAACAAAATAGAATCAAATATAAAATAATACTTAAATAATATACACAAAAATTATTCTAGTGGTCTGCCAGTCGCGAGGTCACGGCACCATTGTTATATCTAAATATTTATGTTTGGTGTTTTAATATCTTATTCTATTATAACTTTAACTTAACTGATAACTTTGCTGACTGTAGTGCCGGATAAATTTACAAAAAAAAAAAAAATTCAAAACATTCAAAATCTAATTCATAATATTCATATATCATTTCGACATTCTTATAAACATTCGTATATCGAATCTATCAATCAATCAAATCAATCGTATATCATATCTATCAATCAATCGTATAGTGGTAGTACAATTTAACTTTTAGGTTTGCGTTGTGAGTAACCTATGCTAAAGGAAATATCAATAACTCAATTCAATAAAACTCCATGTTTCTTAAAAGCCTCCCGGCTCAACAAATGGAGGGACATGACAGACCACAGAAAATTACACTAAATTAAACAAATGAAACATAAAATACATATCAAACACATTTATTAATTTCTAGAATATTCAATCATATGATAACTAGGTAAACTGATCAGTCCCCTACAAATTAACCTTAAGAGGTAAATTAACATATATATAATTTTAAATCTTATACTCAAGTTAGGTGTACTAATTTTTTTAACATTACATAACTCACAAAGTAGGCGGTTGTACCACACGTATATTAATATAGTATCATTACTATATTAATATACGGAGTTTTAGATAGTTCAACAGATCGTTCTACTCATTTCGTTGACCATTCGAAGAGATCGAGAATGCCATCATCGACGGATTAATCGGGAGTTTTAGATAGTTCAACAGCTAGTCCAACTGCTTTTAAATGAGGAACGCTAACGCTACAACAAAATCTGTATTAAGGTAACCTCGAGAATGTCAAATTAAAGTTCTTGGGAAAATTATAACAAAGCAGCAGCAAAGCTATATTTTGCATAAGCACTTAGTCTCAACTCGAGCAAAATTCTCATCAGCTGAAAGCCGACAGAAATTCAAGACCGCCGCCCGCTGGTACACGGTATTCGCGAAAGCGAGACCCGCAAAGGGGTCAAGCCCTCGCCACTCGTTTTCTTCTTACTCTTAGCTTGAAAAATCAGGAAACAGAATGATCTCTAGCCTGGTGCAAGCACCCAGGAAATCTCGGTTTCTCCGCCTCTGTGAGTTCATAGGCTTTCAAAAAAATCATAAAATTATATCTTACCAATCCCGGAATTTTATGTTATCTAAATTGAGAAAATGACACACCCATGACGAATCAAACACCAGATTATCTGACAATGAAATCCGAGAAACATCTGCACACATAACGTGAGAAAAAGAAGTAGACCCCCCCAAACTAACAAGTGAAACTAGCTTTTACGGGCATCCAATTATCTAACTTAGTACACCTCCCACTGTCTTGAAGTTCGCAAAACTTCAAACTTTAACAAAGCGACAAGACGAACGATTTCCGTTTCACACGCATTAGCTAAAAAGGGCGACACATATGCCCTACTGCCTCCATTGTTGGAAAAGGCCATAAACCAGATGTGTGTCCTCGCAACCGTCTCTCGCCTTTGTCACAATTCCAACTCAAGAATAATGAGTTAAATAAAACCTTAAGAGCTTAAGAATACTTTTTTTCCAGATTAAAATACACATGAATACAAATAAAAATATTAGAATAATAATAACTTAAAACACATATTAATAATTGAAATTCGCGACATAACAGTTTTATGTCAAACCTGGTTCAGAAGTTTAGCTGGTATTGATAAAAGCTCATGGCAATTCTATTTGGGCTTCAGTCCTTGTCTTCAAATAGCAGGGGTTTTTATCGAACAAAACAGAAATCACTGAAGACAGATAGTGTGTAGAACCTCCTTAAACTTCAAGAACAATGTGGCACATACAGGAAAAAGAATTTTGCACGTCCGTCATGAAATTACCAATATGCTCTTCAAGATGAAAATCGCAAGATAAAATATCACTGCCTATGGAGAAATTTTTGACCGCAAAATCATCATAACAGATCCTCTCGAATTTATATTTCCAGTAATTCTGCATCAGCATCTGTGTAGTATTTTTTTTTTCCTCAAGCTCGAAACTCAGCTCAATGTGCATCATTTTGGGAAAGTTATCTGAAGTTTATCAGGCCGTTGCAGCTGAAATCTTTATACGGATTAATACGGAGCAGCTGAAATCTTTTCTTACACTGTGTTTTTTTTAAGAGGCAGCAACGTTGAAATTACTTCATTAGATAGCATAAAGTGTCTACTTTGAAGGTCATAAGCTGTTATGACACACATGTTGAATAAAAATAAAATATTTACTCAACTGTGTTACTTTTGAGGCATACCGAGAATACAATAAAGATTTGCTCTGAACATAAACTATTTCCTTTCGCCCACGTTTCAGTATTGTTCATATTCTGAATGTTATATAGCTTTTAAATGATATAAATTTAATTTACATTCTGTAAGAATTGCAAATTAGTGCATGGAACTTTCTCCACTTTGTTTTTCTCATTTTTGTGCGCAGCCAAAGGATACGTCATAGTATGTTCATTATTGCAAGAATTTCATCAAGTTCAATGTATTACTACAGTTCATTTCTTAACTTTTATAGTTTAATTTTTTTAATATTTTTAATTGCTTTTAAATAAGTATATCATTTTCGTCTTTTGAGATTTCTTTTAAAGAATCTTATAGATGTATTATCATTTTTAATTCAATCTCTAATTTTAGGATTTATTATCTGGTACAAAATTGATGAAGAAAAGTTTTGTTTACAACTGGCTTCATCCTTGGTTGGGAACTGGACTTTTAACCAGGTAATTACTGCAATTAACTTGTAAAGACATTAGGGTCTTTTAAAATGACAATTGGGTAGTAGCAATTGCGCTTTCGTTGGAATTCGAACTACAAACTTCCAACTATTACTGGGCGTCCTAATACTTAATTGCATGAAATCACGCAATGATTCCTTAAAAATATCATTGAAATTAGATATCTGCAGCCTTTCTAACTTTTTCTTTTTATTTCCTTAAAAGCATCACAGATTATATAAATTTAAAAAATTGTTCGTAGTGTAAACTGTGATAAATTATGTTTTAATTTCTTTTATGATTATTAACTATTTTTATCATAAATTTGGAAGTTCCAAAGATAGCATCACTATTGCAGGAAAGTATTAAGTTCTAAACACTGTATGTAATATATAGTATTCTTATTTATCAGAAATACAGAGAAACTCAAATGTGAGATCTTTCATTCATAGGGTGCCTAGATATTCTGTATAAATAATGTTTAAGTTTCACATAATCCCGGTAACATATAGATTTAAAATTTGGGTTTTTATTTGTATTATCTTAATTATTTTCGAATGCATAATGAAGCAATAATTGCAATTTTGCATTTAAAGGTAAAAAAAAAAAAAAAAAAAAAAAAGTTATCTTTTTTAAAATAACATTAATTTTTTTTCCGTTAAAAATGAAAATATTTATAGAAACTTTGTTTCAATGACTTTGTCGTCATTCAAATGAAAAGTAGGGATCCCTACACAATTAACTAATATAAACGATGAAATTAGCAAGCGACAACCTTGTGTTTGGCATAGGTTATACTCAAGACTCTATCTATTTTCAAGGTAAACAGGTACAGGCTCCTCTTCATCAAGAGCATGTCGCTGTCTTTCTAAGAACTGAACAACTCTGAATTATTCCACTAGTTTAACTCGCATGAGTTTGTAATCTTAAATTACTCGAAAATATCTTCATTGCCAATTGTAGATAAGCATCGGCAGTCTGGTTCTTTTAACAGGCTTATTAAGTTTTAACTATGGGAAAAAATATTCCCACTCCCAAACAAAATGCTTATTGTTACTGAAAAAAAAATCGTTAATGATTATAGTTACCTTTTAAAAAGTGCTAATAAAAGTTAATCAAATTTGTATCTTCAAATCTCTGCATAAAATTTATATCACAGCGTAGATGAATTAGCTCCATCTCCAGATTTTCCGAAGAGATACTCACGTTCTTTTTTGGTAATAAAATTAATGTAAAATTCGACTCAAAATCATTAAATACTTAACCTTTTTCTTGTTATAATAATGCTAATTAACTTACAGGAAATATATTCGAGGGCCGCATGAAATTGCTTTGGGGGACGCATACGGGCCGTGGGCTGTCAGGTTGAGACCACTGCTCTATAATATATATAACATACAACATAATCATAATACAAATAATTGCGCAAAATAATAATTAGTTTAAGAATATGAACAAAAATTTTGAAAAAAATTGCCTATTAGACTAATGTTTAATTGTTTTTAGTATTATTATTATCGTTAATTTTACTTATATAGACAAATTTTCAGACACATAATCAAATCTATCAAACCAAATCAGTTTGATTTTATTTAATATGATGTGCTTGATGTCATGTAATGAAGAAATTTTTTAATATTTGGCTTAAAATTATCTAAACTTAATTATTAAATCACTTCGTTCGAAATATTAAATCTATTTCTTGTTTTCTTAATAAGTTATTAACTTGAGCTTCAATCAAGTAAGAAGAAGGAAAGGTCCATAATGCTAGTCCGGTAGTAACCATAATTTTGGGATCTTCTGGGATCTTTTCTCGAATGACTTTTAAATTCCAAAACTCAACGTAACTGTGTACCAAAACGTTTATATCAATAAGCAATTAACTGCCAATTTTATTATTACATTTTTTGCAATCAGTGGAATCTTGATCATGCCAATCCATTGCCATCATATTTGGCTTTAGACCCCTCGATCATCATTGATCCGCTTTAAAATTTCATCGACCCCATTAGAAACCCTAATTACACGTAGATAGAAGACAGTGCGTTCTCTTTATAGTATAATTCCTTCCGTTCTTTATAGTATAATTCCTTCCGTTCTTCCGTAATTGGCATGCCTTCTATTTTTCAATCTAGATGTATCTGCAGAATATTGCCTTGACATTTATAATATTAATGGCTTTGCGTCACATTCTAAGTTGTGACGCAAAGCCACAACTTAGAATGTGACGCAAAGCCATTAATATTATAAGCAGCCAAGAACAGAACAGGAGGCAGTATCTTGTATAAACTGCCTCTTGTTCTGCTCTTATGTGGAAGGGAATCAGACCTGCTAGTACGACAGCTGCGGTTATTTGCTGCTGTTCTTTTTAATCGTAACTTGCGTTTCTTTTACTTTTCATTCTAGATGTATCTGCAGAATCGCGTCTTGATGTTCACACTGTAAGAGAATGTAAATAATATTGTGCATTAACGTTCTGAGATGTATAATTCTTGTATGAACTGCCTCTGCTGTTATATGGAAAAGGATCAAATCTACCAATACGAAAACAGCGTTTTTTCCTGTTGTTCTGTATGAATTGCACAAATAATTGCGAATGGATGTTGGAACATCAGAAGATATTTCTGTTTCCTCTTTACCATTGATTGCGATCAAATTGTAGCGGCGTCTAGTGCTATTTTTCAACAACTGCGGTATATAATATTTTCTGTGTGTAGAGTTTCTGCCTCTAATTCATTCCCTAACTCTGCCTTGTTTTCCTCCATTAATTTTATTTTGTTTTTTTATAAGTGGAATCCAAGAGAGACCTTGATCCCACATCAGATCAAGGTATTTCATTTGGTATACTGTTTTGTAATTTAATTCAGGAATGCCTAGTAGAGTTTGTTCTTTGCTTGATGATAAGGAGAGTCGCAGATGTTTCGGTGTAGATTTCTAATTTAAGATTTTTGCAGACATCATGAAATTGTGCACAGATTGTTGTGCCCATGTTTTCCACTTGTGTGAACTTTCACAAGAAAAGTAACATCTTCAGCACAAGCAACTGTCATGTTCTGGTCAATTAGCTTCAAGTATAGAATTAAATCTGAAGTTTCAGAGAATAGGATGCTTGTTTAACATCCAGCTACCATAGATTTTGAAGGCGCTAAAGGCTATGTGGAAGTTAGCCTTTCTGCTATCTTGAATGTTTTCTCATATAACATCAAGAGCATGAATCATTAAAAGACCAGTTTGGAAAACATAATATTTTTAGATTTTTTAGTGAGACCCCCCGTCGCATTATATCCGAAAGGCGATTAGGGTGCATTTCTGATACACTTTCTTTTTTTTAAATTCAAAAACATTCCAAGCTTGTCTGCTTTTAATTCCCTTTTTTATACACGAAGTTCATAACTTAAAATAATTAACAATAGAAAATTATATTCTCGCGAAATTCTTATTTTGTTATTTCATAATTAAGGTCTTGTACCACAATCGTTACTGGTTTCACAGACTGGTCGTTACTGGGTTCTCTCTACAGGACTTCTCAGGTATTGGAAATTAAAGTTACTTTAATTGATTATTCATTTTGAAATTTGACAGCTTTAAAGACTGATTTCCTGCCTGTGAAATTAAATCTACGAATCTTCATAATAATTTTAATTCCTGCATCAACACTATTGCTTCTGTAAATTTTGCACTTCAAAAACATATAAGTGTAAATAGAGTCAAATATTAAATTATACATTACATACACTGATAGCATGTAATGCCTGTATTTTATTCCCATTGTAGTTGCGGCCCAAAGTGGAAATCTCGTCGCAGGTTATTGACACCCTCTTTCCATTTTGACATCTTGAAGGATTTCTTGTCCGTCTTCAACGAGCAGTCGCAAATATTCGTGAAGCTTCTAGAAGAGGAGACAAAAAAACCATGGACTGATGTTATCATGCCCGTGACTTTATGCACACTTGATATTATATGTGGTAAAAACAGTGTCTATGTATTAAATAGTCAAATTGAAAACTTTCTTGAAACTAAATTTTCAAACGCATAATTCTCTTTATTAACTGTTTAGACAGCGGAGTGTTAGAGTTCTGTGATCCTACAAGCGATTTTCTCTAAATCAGAATCTTTAGTCAAGAGGGTTTTGTCAAAAGTCAAGTTTTGTACTCTATCAGTATTTTTTATTATTTCTAAAAATATATTTCAAAATGCTTAGTATATCTTCCTTTCAATAAGTTATACATAGACGGATTATTTCATAATAAAATTATTTTGAAAAACATCGTTCAGAAAATGATTAATATTAAACTCAAATCACAAGTAATAAAATAAATTAAGTATCTTATTTTTACTTTTACGAAATAAAAGATGATCTGTAAACGGAAAGGAGAGAAGAAATGCAATGCCTAATTGTCATCTAACACTTTCTCTCACTCATTCAAAAGCGGTTCTGATATTAAGCTGGTAACTAATTTTCGTACTATCTTAATGTCTGTAGCTGATTTCGTTTATCTAAATAGTCTGGGTTTCGGCTTTGAAGGAACAAAAACTAAACTAAAAATTTACTTGATGGTAACGCAGATAAAATATAAAATACAACGAAAATTTAAGAATAACTAACATTAGATTACAAAAAATAGCAAATTTACAAACAAAAATTCACCGCATGCGTGGCAGAAAATTACATTGCTGTGGTAATTATTTGAAATTTTCAAGACTTCTCTGGAGTAATTGTGGTGACTTGATCGCATTCAACTGAACTAGCATTCCCACTGAGAAAGAGATAGATATATTAGGAGTCATAAGATAGTATTCGGTCCCTGGCCAACAGACCATCGTCATCACCACCCACATCACAACCAACAGACAAATTAAATTGCATGCTCCAGACGATTATCTGTTTAGCCAACAGACCACCATCAAGATTTCCTCAAGATGGTCAATGCACCCAGAAGACTGAAGATGCAGCAGCTTTGCAAGTTCCCTCTTCACCAAAAAAAAAAAAAAAAAAAAAAAAAAAAAAAAAACGTGTTACTAGCCCAAACGAAGGAGCAAAGCTCGAACATGCTCAAAATCTTATTCTGCGTTCCAAAATTCATATTTCATAAGGCTTAGAATTTTATGAAAAAAACAGGTTCAAAATTGTAACTGAGAATAATTTCTACAAATAAAATATAATTTTTTACATGTTTCCTATAAAATGAAATTTATAGTTGGTAAAGAATTTACTATAGATTTTATAAATTTCAAAAAACTTCTGTATTCAGATTCCGTCTTCTCGTTTTTTCCCCCTGCTTTTTAAATATGAAGAAAGTTTAAAGCAATCTTGAATTTCAAAAAAACTTGAATTTGAAGCAAATTTGCAATTGACTTCAAACAATTTTTCTCAGTCAAACATCATTTTCAAGATTTATTAAATATCTTTTACTGATTTATAGCTATTATATTTATCGTCAGAAAAATGAGTTTTATTAGTCCTAAAAAGCTTTGTCCCTGAAGGTCTATTGTTTTCGTTTTGCGGTTTTGCGTTGGTTCACTATAAATGTCCGTTTCACTTTTCAAACTGTTGCCACCAAATGTTAGAGTCCTGCATTATATTTGAAGAAATTAAATAATCAAAAATCTGCAAAAAAGCTAGCAATGGCAAAGTTGTACAGAAAAAACATTTTTATTTCCAGCGTGCGAAAATGATATGCTCAATTTAAAAACTATTTTGTGATATTGCTCTTGAACTAAATTTTATGGTTTAAGTGAAAAGAAAGTGATATTTAATAAATAAAGGTAGCAGAAAAAATGTTAAAAAATAAGCCCCTTTGGACGTAATTTAAAATCTGAAACCTTTCAGATTTTTTTATATAATTTCTTTTTTAATTTTTCAGATACATCTTTCATATTTTATGCACTATATTTGCTGGTTTTGGGAAGTTCCCTTCACATGCACAGCATAACTTCAAATAAATTGCATTCTTTATGCGATCCAGCAGAAATCAGAAAGCATCTCAAAATATATCTATGTTAGTGATAAAAATATCTGCAGAATGGGAGGAGCAGCTACTTACGTATATACATTTATGTAGATTCGTCATTATTTAATTTCTTTAAATATAATACAGGGCGAAAATATTTGGTGGCAACAATTTGAAAAGTGCTTCAACGTGTTTAGTGATTCGACGCAAAATGCAGTTTCGAGACTAATAGCCCTTCTGGGCTAATGCCCCTTTGGCTTAAAATTTCTTACTCTATAAAAAGCAATTTTGTTATCATTAGCAATTAAAATTCCTCCACTTAAATACTATTTACTACAACTGCTACTGCTACTGCTACTTTCCCTAAATCATTTTCATTACTCATTATTATTCAGCGATCCATAATTTTTATTGTACTTTTTAAATGTATGAGCTCTTTAAATTGAATACTATTTTAAATTACATAAAATTCATATTTTTTCCTTATGCAGCTAGATGCTTAAAATGGAAATTGATTACTCGTGTTTTGTTTAATCTTAATATACTGGAGACGACAGTTCTTGAACCTGCGTTTGCACGTTTTCGTTTTTTCTTCTTTGAGTATTTCCTCAACTGTCACTTCAAAACCATTAATTGCAATATAAGAGATAGAAATTAATGCATAAGCCTCTCCGTAGGCCTAACTTTTTTCAATAGTTTATTAAACCTTTCACAAAAGTAAATTAAAAACTAATTTTTTATAGATTCCAGGTAACAAACACTATAAAGCCATAACTGTATCTTTTTCACTTCTGTATAGTTATATAAACGAAAATTAATTTAAATATTTTTGCTTTCTTTTCTGCTCTAGAAACTACACTGGGCGTTACCATCGGAGCTCAACAAAATAGTGAATCCCAATATGTGAAGTGCGTTTTAAGGCAAGTTCTATTCTTTTTATAAGATGATTGCGGAATTTAGCATTTCTTTATGTGGGGATATACACTGACCACTGATATTTTTGCTCCAGAAGTTTTATATTTTATCTAATAAACTGGAAATAACTATTTCCAACTAGTTAAACTGATAAAGATATTCAGCGAAAAAAAGGTAATTATAGGCCTTATTTCCCTGAATATATATTCTAGATATTTATTTACAGTTGTAAAGTTTTCATAAAATGCTCAGATTTTGGCAGAGAAGTTTCAGCACTGAAAATAGAAATCTTGTGTAAATACAAAGTTTAATTTTTATGTGATCTAGTAAAGCAAAATGTCCAATTAATGAAATGTTCATTATGCTTATAAGAGGCTCGATAAACTTAGATATTGATGTGATCAATTGAAGAATAAAGACAGCGAAATCAGCTTACCTTTTGTGCACTCAGTAGCAGCAACTGAGTCTCCGAAACTATTGATGATTACGATATGAGGGAATTATCCATAAATAATACGATGCAGATTTAAACACAAATAACATATTTATTCTACCCCAACTAAAATAATATAAGCGATAGATACATTAATGCTAATACAAGCACATACAGAAGCTTAAGAATAACTAAAGAACAAGAGGATGATGGGATATATTAATATCACGACATTAACATAGTTGACGTGTTTGACGCCCGTGTGTCTTGGCATTTTTTAGGATTGCCAGAAATGAGTTAGAAAAAACATGTTATTTATTTATTCTCAAAAGCTTGATCATCAACATACAGCATCAATAATTACTATAGCATTTGAACAAAAAGTTAGAGGTTTAAAGGAACTTTGGAAACTTTACGAATTCTTTAGAATAATCCATTACTTTTCTAAGAACGCTGGTTTCGTTTGAAGAAGATATATTGGTTTATGTGATTGCGAGATAGCCTCGAGAGCTATCTTGCCAAGGGGAGGGATGCCTTCGTGGAGGACTTTGTAGGGAAAACTGGCTCGTATACTCCTTACACATGGGGAATACCACGAAACCCCTCATACAGCCAGCCCGTTCGCGGGATTCGAACCTCGGACCGAACTACCGGTGTTCAGCGATTTTACCGTTCGGCCGCTGGTGGACCCTAAGAACATTAATACCTTTGTTAATTCTAAGTATATGAAATAATTTTTAAATCAATTTCTGTGATAAAAGGAAATTATACATTTTTTTCTTTAGTAAAAATATATTTCCCGCTTCCCCTTGGCGAAAATTGGCGATACATAGATACCGAGTTTGTTCATTTCTTTGAGTTATTATTTTGGCTTGTGTAGGAGCCAAAAATCACCGCTAGACTAAGCCAGAATAACAAGACAAAGAATTGCGCAAACTCGGTACCCATGTACACATCGACCTATTTTCACTTAAAAAAAACATCAGAGAATTGCACAAAGATTGCACATTCCTTTCACTTTGTCCATGGACACTTCGAACTATATTGACTTAAAAAGTCAAACCAGCAGCCAACAAAAAACAAAAAATATATAATCTCAAGAAACTACATTTTAAATCAAACAATGAAATAACATAAAAAAGGAAATTCATCGTTGCACTACACAAAAGAAATATCCACTTACCTTATTTACCAATCAGCATGTCTTCAGTTAAACAAAATTCCTTAAAAGCATCCAAAAACTTCCTAAAATTATCTGAACTAGAATCTGTATACTGGCGTTGTATACTGGCGTTGCCACATAAATTCATAAATTAAGAGTAAAAAATATCTTTCTCCGTAGCGACGTTCCACCGTACCGTATTTCCGACGACTGACCATACTCATTTCCTTCCTACGAACAAGACACCTAATAATGCTACTAAGTAAACTTCATTTACACACCAGTCAAGTGATATTCTTTTCCCCTTTCTTTCTAAATCGTACAGAAACTTCAAATTAATCTTACCACATTCAGCCACTTTACCATCTAAACCAAGAAACATACTTCCTAACCAATACACACACCATAAACCCTTACGAATTTACCGCAATCATGCAGCCGATTACGTCATAATAGGGTTTTCATAACAAACTACTCCTACCATAAATGAAACAACAACTTCGCGATAATACAAGGGGTACCCTTCTCTCTACTCTAACATTTTCTTCATATTTAAATGTAACGCATTAACTGAAATAACTTACAAGATAAAAATAACTTAGCTTTGTAAATACTGTACAGAGGAAATAGTGTCCAGTTCATGAATTTCACGCAAGAAGAGCAGAACGAATGCCACCCAGACGGTATAGTTGTTAGAGGAGCCTGACTGCGATAAGGAACGGCCCGGGTTCGAATCTCGGAGAAGGCATGGATGTAAATTGCCTGTCCTTTAACAGGAGGCAAAGGTGACCTACCTCTTAGGTGCCTCCATAATAAAGAGACTCGCCACATCTGGCCTTAGGAGTGGCCAATGCCAGCATAGGCAAACGCCCGCTATTGGAAGAAAACAAAAGAGCAGAATAAATTGAAAATAATGTATGGAAAATTTGGTTGAAAACTCAGTTGCGGATAATGCTCTCAAACGATCAGAAGTTAAACCTGTCTCTTATATTTTAATGTTTTGAAATAATTTTATCAAACTGATTCCGTAAAATACGTTTGAATATAATTCCACAGTATTCATAAATATTTTAGGACCTTAAAATTAAATGAAACACACTTTTTAGAAATAACCTTATAAGAACATCACTCGATTTCAAAGATTTTGAGATAAAAAATCCCAATCGATCATATAGCGTGCTAGTATAATGTAAGCATGATCACATCCCTGTTAGTGTAATGCAAACGTTACATATGAATGCAATAAAATTTCCAGTTCATGAATTCATTGCTGAAAAATCTCAGTGGATGATAAGAGAAACGATTTAAAACGCATCAATATATGCTTGACTTAAAAATTAAAAACAAATTAAAATATCCCACTTCTTAAAATCCCACTTCTTCTTTGGATTAAAAAATCCCACTTCTTCTTTGGATTTCGAAAACGTGCTCGTACAGCCCTATTTCATTAATTCTCAAAATACTATCAAAAGCTGTACTCCCTCTGCGCTTGAAAAATCAATTTTTATTGAAGAATAAAACAGTCCTAAGAAAATCTAAATGAATTTTCAACATAGTCAATTCGACTATGTTGGTTTAGGTTTATTAGATTACGGCAAAGCACTCGAGGGCTATCTGCCTTAAGGGAGGGATGTCTTCGTGGAGAACGTTTTAAGGGAAACTGGCTCGTATACACGTTACACATGGGAAAAACCCCGAAAACACCCATGCCAGCCCGTTCGCGGGATTTGAAGCTCGGACCGAACTACCAGTGTTCAGCGACGTTACCGCTCGGCCGCTGGTGGGCACTCGACTATGTTGAAAAGAGAAAATTGACATGGCATGGCCCACCGGTGGCTGAGCGTAAAATCGCTGAACACTTGCAGTTTGATTGGAGTCGAATCCGTCGAAAGGGTTTAATGGCATGGCATGCATAGGTATTTTTGCGGGTTTTCCTATTTGTAACGTGGGTACGAAACAGTTTCTTTTAAAAGTCCTCCACAAAGACATCCTTTCCGTTCCGCATATAGCCCTTATGTGTTTTGTCACAGTCAAATGAACCATTCTTCGACGACTCAATGCCCAAGAATCATTGCCTGCATTTTTAAGTCTCCCAATGTGATTCGTCTCTTTCAAGTTTTGCAGTTGAACCCGTATCGCACATAAGTTATTTTCATTTACATGAACTACGCATTTATAAACATGGTTTGTTTTGATGATAATTTAGATTTTAGATATAATTTGTTATGGTTTGATAAGTTTCTGATAAGTTTTTAGGTATCATTTGTTATGGTTTGATAAGTTTCTATGAAGGCCTCGTGAACGCTCGAAACTAATTTTCAGCACAGATTGATGGTAATTTCTTTTTTGCTTTACGCCAATCGGCTCACGAAAAATGTCAAAGGAATGTTCTAGTTCTATAAATTGGATAAAAACCTATGTACTACCAGTATTTTCTTTCCTGCAACGGTTTTCCTATTAAAAACACTTACGATTCATAAATATTAAAACTAGAAAGTAAAAAAATATATATTCGCTGCAAAAAGTAAATAAATAAAACTTTTGCTTCGTGAAATCCAAAATATTTATTTTTATTTAATTTTTTTTTCATTTCCTTAGCTATTTTATCAGCGTGATTGTCGTAAATGATTTCCAATGAATACTTAAATTTTTATGAAAATGTTATGCTACATTTATTTAAACAAAATTCTGATCATCACTTAACGCAGTTTGAAAAACTTATTCGAACCTTCAGAATAATCATTTATTATATTTAAAATAACACTGGGCCCATCTGATCCGTATAGTCGTAGTGCTTCTGCCTACAGTATCTTTCAGGTTCGAATCCTATATATATTTGTAAGCGTATAGTATGTGTGCAGCATGGGAGAATTCAGAATACATGTAGATACGAAAATCCTCTCGAATGGTTTGGTAGCAGAGGAAGAGGAGTGGCACTCGTTTCCATCAAAACTGGGACTGACAAAAACTGAGTAAAATCGCACTGTCAACTTTATGCTTCCTTAAGGCACATATCATTAGGATACAAGGCCCGTGGGCCCATGCCAACGATAGATGCAATCTTTCGCCCCTTGCCGCGATAAAATTTGTGGCCTTTTCTAATTAAGTCGGACAAGTGAAATAACCTGTAACACAGAATCCTACTGGATTATTAGTCTGTACTAATTTTGAAACATTATCTTATATATCACTATTTTACAATATAATTTTTAACAATTTAGAGCATCAGAAATCATTATGGAAAGAATGGTGAATCCACATCATTGGGTAGAATGGATCTTTGGAGTTACAAAAAATGGAAAACAGCTGAAAAGTGACTTACAGCTCTTGCACGGTTTTACAAGAAAAGTGAGATCATTAATTTACCTTCATACATTGTCACTTGCAAATATGTCTTAAGTTTAAACTTTAAGCAAATTTAGCGTATAAAAATACGTGTTTTTTGTATTTTAAACGCAATGAAACCTCTTGTATCGATCGCCTCCCACAGATAACTATTCTAAAATTAACCAATATTTCATTAAAACGTAAACAAGCATTGTAATTGATAAAATGTAACATTTTTCCTATAGTGATCACCCCCTAACTAGCTCAAGATCATCAAATATTCATTAAAGCGACAAATAAAATGCTTAAGTCGACATCAAATTTAACTATTTTACATATTAAACAAATCAAGAGATCCATGGGGGCCATTTGCTACTTAATATATCAATAATATTTTTCTGTAAAATAGTAGTTAATCATTAATTTTATATTTCTAAAACGTCACTTTCACTATGTTTATCGTATAGAGTTAATTCGGCGATTACATTAGGACGTAATTCATCAGATTCCTATGGTGTTTATTAGTCCAAGGACGCGTTAGCTCGAAACGTAAAACACTAAAAATGTTAATCACTTTTCAAATTATTGTCACCATATATTATCACTCTGTATTACATTTAAATACAGTTATAAGTTAAATAATGAACAATCTTCATGAACATATGTATGTTTATTTCTCGCATTGTGAAAAAACATCGGTACCTAGAGCGATCAAATTTTGAATAACATTGTCCTCCACCCGAATATGGGCACCTGAAAGCAGGAATTTTGAATCTCGCATTTTTTTAATATCTATTTCAGATTTTATATAAATTTAATGAATTTTTATTAAAAAACTCAACAATTTCAATGGGAACAGTAGCAATACTGTACGGAAGAAAACATTTTTATCTCGAGCGCGCGAGACTGCCTATCGAAAACTCTACAGATACGCCGTTTTCAAGTATTTGTAACTCAAATATTCTCGAAACGTGCATGTGTGTGTAAATTTTAAAAAAGGCCTTTGGACATAATGTAAAATCTGAAAGTTTTCAGATTAAATTTTATTTTATTATTATTTTTTTTTCTTTTTCTAGCTGAGTAGCTGTTAGCTAATTGTAATAAATTAATATTCAAATGGTGCCAAAACTTTTTATTTATAACATTCTGCATTTAAATGTATATATGCGTGTGATTGTATTTTAAATTTCAACCTTGCAATAAAATGTTTGATTAACCTCTGATTAAGAAGACTACAAAACATAAAAAAGTAGAAATAGTAAATTTTAAAATGATTTTTAAATTTATTGAAATTGCTAATGGTGATTTGGCGCAAAGAAAATTGGAGAAAAATTACAGATGCATTAAGCCTCGGATCAGACGACATTTAAAGAAAGCAAAGCAAAAAATGATTAAGGTTAATATAGTAATGGAAGCTTTTCAGTCGGATGAAAGAAATAAGTGTTTAAACTCTAGTTTTATTTGAAGGTGCTCGTGCATGAAAATTTCCAATAAATTAGCAAAATTCTTTGAGGAAGTTACATAAATTTCATACTGAGAAATTCCATGCAAGGAGAAGTTGTCTGAGCAGTATAATGTTTTTAAAAATTTGGAGTGAAAGAGAATCCATCAGTGAGAAATTACTCAAGAGAATTTTCTTCGTCGATAAAACGTAAGGATTTCGAGAATATTTATAAGTTGATGAGACCTATCTTTGTTATCAGATATTATCCGCAAAATCGTTCCTTTTAAAATTTCTAACTTGCATGGCAGTAAAAAAGAGGAATAAGGACGATGCTGTGTGGAACAACTATTCTTACTTTTTTTAGTCGCATGATTTAGAATAATTTGAATGTACATTTAAAAAGAATTCCTTACGGTTGGGATGATTAAAAATTGTTAATCGAGATAATCTAAATAGGAATGTGTGTCTGAAGGGAATAATTCTTAACCCAGAAAGTTTATTAGTCTCGAAACGGCATTTTGCGTCGAATCACTATAAACGACTGTATCACTTTTCAAATTGTTGCCACCAAATATTATACCCCTGTATTATAATTAAATAATTAAGAATTTGCATGAATGTATGTATGTTTCTCGCATTGTGAAAAAACAATTATATCTAGAGCCATCAGATTTTTAATAACATAATCTTCCACTCAAACATGGGCACTTGGAGGCTCGAATTTGGAATCTGAAATTTATTTTATTGTCTATTTCATATTTTGTAAAGGTTTAGCAAATTTTTGATTAAAAAACTCAACAGTTTCAAAGCTAGCAATGGCGACACTGTAGGGAATAAAACATTTTTATCTCCAGCGCGCGAGACTATCGAAAATTCTAAAGATATGCTGTTTTTAATTATTTTCAGCAAAATGTGGCGTTAGACCAAATGCTCTCGAAGTGTTTTTCTGTAAATGAAAAAAACGCCCGTTTGGCGGTTGTATAAAATCTAAAAGCTTTCAGAACTTATTTTTGTTTTGTTTTTGTTTAAATTTTATTTTTATTTTTATTTTTAATAGTATTAAAAAATTAATTTAAAAAACTCATAAAAAACACCAAGTAAATGTTGTTAATTCTTGTCAGTACTCCATGACACTAAGATATCAGCTAATAATGCTTATTTATCCTTTTAATCTGCTAATACGATTATAAAATACGGCAGTCCTTGAGTCGTGTAATCATCAAATCATTTACACTTAATTATTTTCACTATGCTAATATGCTAATAGCGTTCACAGATTTAGTAGAAATAGGTACTGATTAAGGTAATTCCTTTAGCGGGTGAAGCGAAAGAAGAGTGAAACGGTATGAATGATACCATGGTAAAGAAGTATTTCAACAATAATATATTGATTGAGAATTGCTAGAAAAAGAAAGCACAAATGAAAATATTATTTGTATATACACCTTGCCCAAAAGATGGGGGAGACAGTTCCATATATCCCGTTCTACTGTGGCGATTGACGAAATTAACTTGCATTTTTCATGTCTCGAAAGCGTCCCTTGGATATATATATATATATATATATATATATATATAAGATTTAAATATAGAATTCTTCTAAAACAGACATTTTGGCACAAAATCGGGCTTTTTCTGAAGTGACACACCAATTTTTTTTCTATATCTCAAAACTGCAATCTTTTAGTCGACTCAAATTATGCATAAAATTTGCATGAGTAGTTTTTAAAAAATTAGCTCTTAAAATTTTAGCTACTCAGTGTTAATTGACTAAAAAAAAGATATTAATAAATATATACAAGTGTATATATTTATTAATATCTCTTTTTTTATTAAACTTACTAGCCTCCTTCTTTCACAGTTCGAAATTTGGGTAAAATGCGCTGCTACTTTCTGATTTGTTTCTAAATTTATTTTTTTTATTAATTTTATAAATTTTTCAAAAAACATTTTTAATTGTAACCTATAAAATTCTTGCCATTATATTAAAATAGATGTATTTCTAAGCATATCTGCAACCAATTAGAATTTATTCAAAAATTACGAAGATATATGTGAATTTATATATTAGTGAAAAGTCAACTTATTAATCGAAAGGCGCTTTGTCCCTGAAGGACTATTTTTTTTTTTTTTTTTTTTTTTTTTTTTCCGATTTTATGTCAAATCACTCTGGATGTCCGTTTCACTTTTCAAACTGTTGCCACCAAATATTATCGCCCTGTATTATATTTGAATAAATATATTATAAAAAATCTGCATAAATGTATGTAAGTTTCTCTTATTGTGTTAAAACAACGGTACCTACAGCCATCGAATTTTAACTGACGTAATCCTACTGCGAATATGGACATCTGGAAGCTCAAACTTGAAATTTGTTTTATTATCGATTTCTTATTTTGTAAAAATTTAACTAAGTTTTATTAACAAATTCGAGGATTTGAAAGCGACTTCGTACAGAAAAAACATTTTTATTTTCAGCGCGCGAGACTCTGCATTGGAAATTCTAAAGATATGCTCAATTTAAAATTATTTTGCGATATTGCTCTTGAACTGAATTTTATTGTTTAAGTGCGAAGAACGGGATATTTAATAAATAAAGGTAACACACAAAATGTTATAAAAACATCCCTTTAGACGTAATTTAATATCTGAAACCTTTCAGATTTTCTTTCTTGTTTTTTAAATTATATATTTTATATTATTATTGTTATAAGCGATAATAATAATGCCAAATATTTTTCACGCACTTTGTTAAAATTATTTGAAATAATGAACGACTCACCTTTTATTCCGCTCGTGCAGAGTGAAAAAAGAAAAGGAAATTGGTTACCATAAATTAAAAATTTCGCAAGTGAATTATTCTTGATGCAAACTAAAAAAAGTTTGCCAAGGCAAATTTTTAAAATTTCTCTGTAAGTTTGTCATGAAATTTTACAAAACTTAATGTTTCGGCATAATTTGAGTGGTGGAATCTAAATATGAAAAAAATAGTTATGTCATTTCAGAAAAAGTCCAATTTTTTGTCCAAATACCTGTTAGAACAATGTTATATATAAATCTAATATATACCCTAAGTCGCGCTTTCGATAAATGAAGAACGCAAGTTAAATTTCGTCAATCTGCCTAATAGAACAGGAGATATAGTACTCTCCTCCCCCCCCTTTTTTTATTCTGCAAGATGTGTGCATATCTATGTCAACAGTAGTCATTGACCTTGAACAGAACTTCAAAGAAGATTAAAAAATAATGTTGGAAAAAGACATTCTTTATATGCATGAAAGTGCTGATAAAGAAGCATAAATCGCTGGAGGATGAAAGAATAGAATTTCGGTGCATTTTTTTCCAATATAAAAAATCTAATGTGGACTCCACGACTTCCTTGTACGGCCTATTAAGTTATGCACATTTTTGCTGCACTTCATTTAAATTTATTTCCCCAGTTTCATTAGAGATATATTTCTCATTCAATCAGTTCAGTTCTCACTTCGGAGCAAAGACAAAATATATAAAAACTCAAAACATTCTTCATTAAAAACAGTAAAATACAAAAAGAAAAAAAAAAAAAAAAATCTGAAAGGTTTTCAGATTTTAAATTACGTCCAAAGGGGCGTTTTTTTTTAACGTTTTGTGTGTTACCTTTATTTATTAAATATCATGTTCTTTGCACTTAAACCATAAAATTCAGTTCATTAGCAATGTCGCAAAATAATTTTAAAATGAGTATATCTTTTGAATTTCCGATACACAGTTCCGAGCGCTGGGGATAAAAAAGTTTTTATTTCCCGTAGAGTGTTGCCATTGCTCACTTTGAAATCCTTGAGTTTGTTAATCAAAAATTCGTTAAAGTTTTACAAAATATGAAATCCATAATAAAACAAATTCCAAATTTCAAATTTGGTCTTTCACATGCCCAGATTCGTAGAAGGATGACGTCATTCAAAATTCGATGGCTCTATATACCGTTGTTTTATAACAATGCCAGAAATATACATACATTTATACAGATTTTTCATCATTTAATTTCTTCAAATATAATGCAGGACTCTACATTTGGTGGCAACAGTTTGAAAAGTGAAACGGACATTTATAGTGATTCAACGCAAAATGGCAAAACAAAACAATAGTCCTTCAGGGACAAAGCCCCTTTAGACTAAAAAAACTAAAACACCAAATAGATTTAAAACAGTAAAAAATCTAATTTTATAATTAAAATTAGTTTAAATTGATTAAAATTAGGCAGAAAGACAGATTTTTCGCTGCACAAAACTTTTGACCCCACTCGGCAAAAAGACAATGAAGTTTGTGCAGAAACTGACTTAATTCACTATATTACTAATTTCCAAATGTAAACAAATGGCGGCTTCGTAAGGCTTAGGAGAACTTAAACAACTTTTAAATTGTTTGTAAGTCTACAACTATTTCATGGAGATTTACTTAAGACATAAAAACCTTAACCGAAACATAAGTTTCAGTATTCTACACCGAAAAATCTGCGTTCTTGACCAATAATAGCTTATTTTTGCGTAGAAACTCTAATTTTAATTGAAAAAATTGTATTTTTTAACTGTTTTAATTGTATTTGTTGTTTTCTGTTTTTCTGTATCTTAGAATTTTTAATGAAGATGTCTTGAGTTTTCATGTATTTTTGCTTTGCCACGAAGGGAATTTAATGAGAAATATATCTCTAATGAAATTTAAGGATCATTTAAACTTATTTCAAATTAGAATTTCTACGCAGCAAAAAATGTGCATAATTTAATAGGCCATACGAAGTCATGTTGTGTCCATATCAGATTTTTAAAATAAAATACATTATGTAACCCGAACTCTCACATCTGAAAGTCTAGCTTAATTGATTCACTTGTTGAACTGAGTCTGCAGCCAGTCGTTCGAGACATACTTAATAGTGCAATATTTTTTTTTTTAAATATCCTGTGTAAGAGTAAGTACTTTTTACTTGCTGCGATAAATAAATCAATAGCATATTTATGATTACTGTCATTAGACAGTTCTGATGATAAAGTATTTCTTTATATTCCGTTCTAAATCATCCATTTGTCAAGGTTATTCAAGAAAAGAAAAAGAAACTTTTATGTGGAGGCGCTGATACTGGGAAACGGAAAAGGAAAGCATTAATGGATTTATTACTAGAACATCACTTGGAAACAAAGGATCTCAGTGAGGAAGATATCAGAGAAGAGGTCGACACATTCACTTTTGAGGTAAGCTGACATTTGTAAACTTCTTTGTGAACTAAAACTCTTTTAAGAGCTTTTTTTTGTTCGTGAGAACTGGTAGGTCGAGCGAAAACGAGAGGGAAACGAGGCATGACACAGACTGGGATAACGTGTGAGAAGGGATAGCTAAGAAGAATGTATTTGAGCGCACTTGTATATAAGAGGTGTAAAATACTGCGGGTTTTTTTTTTTTTTTTGTTTTTTGTTTTGTTTGTTTGTTTAAGTGGTAATAAAATATAAATTCTGAAGTGGTGTTTGGAAAAATTCCTAATATAGTGAGTTCTGTCTAGACGAATCGAACTTGGAGGACTAGTTACAGCACTCCAAATTGTCAAAAATCAATCTAAACTGCTGCATTTTTTGACAAAATAATGGATAAGAGCAAGATATCTAATGGACAATCTCTAACCCTCTGTTGCATAATCGAGAAAATATTGTTAAGAATTTTTTTATTACTATTTTTATTATTATTGTCTATTTTTCAAAAGTGTGTTTTTGTTTTATTATTGTGTGAAGTTGTAACTATATGTCTTTTCTTGTGTGGCAACAACGCTTCTGTAATTCTTCAATTTGAACTTTTGGATGTGTGCCAAGTTTGATGGCGTAATGCTCTGGTGAGAGCGTCGATTGATTGTGTAGATGAAACATGTTGTTTCAGAACGTTATTTCTTTAAAATATGTAAAATAAATGTTTTGTTTTCTGAACTCGGATTATGCAAACGTTATTTAGTTTCAACATAAAAGTTTGGCGTCCGTTTGACTGGACGTTTGTGTGATTTCGAGTAGTTTTGATTTAGGCTTTTTGTTAAAATGGAGTTGTTAAAGGCAAAACGTAAAAGTGAACGTACTTCGTTTACGTTAACTACGAAGATTGTGGAAGAAGAATTGCCTACTTGTACGGATCCTGAGAGATTGCAAGTGTTGTTGGGGCAACTAATTGACAAATTTGAACGCTTGGACAGTACTCAAAGCAGTGTTTTTAGAACAAACCAAGGAAGCGGATTTCGAGAATGAATTTAATACGGCTGAAGGATACAGAGATTCCTTTATAGCTTTAAAGGTGAAACTTCAGAATAAAATTGGACAATTGAATTCGATGAATGTTACTACAGATATTGCTTCAGTTTCGATTTCGGATCCTAAAGAAAATAAAAACAGGAAGTTCAAACTTCCTAAACTTGAACTGAAAAAATTTTCTGGAGATGCAAGAGAATTTTTAGGCTTTTGGAGCCAATTCTCCAAAATTCATGAAGATGCGGATATTGTGCCGGAAGATAAATTTTTGTACTTAGTGCAAAGTGCAGTACCTGGCTCAAAGGCAGCTCAACTTTTGAACAGTTTTCCTGTTACCACCACCGGGCGCGAATTATCCTAAAGCTATCGAGCAGCTGAAAGAAAGATTTGGTAGAGAAGACCTTCTGGTGCAGATCTATGTAAGAGATTTGCTTGGGCTTGTTACAAAGAATGCTACAACAGGCAGAACGGCGTCGGACTTAGGAGTACTTTATGATAGTATAGAAAGTAAATTACGAGCGCTGGAAAGCTTAGGACGCACCAAGGAAAAGTTTGCTGATTTCTTGGGACCTTTAGTGGAGTCGTGCCTACCTGAGAATATTCTACGTGCCTGGGAGCGGAGTCGAACTTCTGAACAGGGACAGGAAAAGAGTTCTGAAAGAACGCTTGAAAAACTAATGTGTTTTTTTGAGGCATGAAGTAGAATCGGAAGAAATGATTAGATTAGCACAATCAGGATTTACTCATTCTGTTAAGCGTCTTAATAAAAATGTTATTTCAGGTAATTCAGATTTAGCAACAGCTGCCGCGCTGGTAAGTACAAATGAAACCAGTAAAGGTAAGCAAATGTTTGTATATTTTGTGGTAAGCCTCATATGAGTGCTAAGTATTTTAAAGCTGAAAATATGAGCTTAAATGAAAAGAGGCAACTTGTACAAAAGAAAGGTGTTTGTTTTTCATGTTTAAGAATTGGCCATTTAAAAAACCAATGTAAAGCCAATATTAAATGCCCCATTTGCAGTTGTGATCATATAAAATTTATGTGTCCTCAGAATGTTAGTTCTGTAAAACAAAATGACTCTAAGTTGGATGTTTCCCTTTCTAATAAAACAGTAAGAGCGAGAAAGTTTATTTGCAAACTTTATGTGTTCTAATTAAAGTTAAAGATCGAGAGAGAAAAATTAGGATTCTCTTGGATTCGGGATCCCAACGATCATACGTTGGGGAGAAAATTATGAAGCGAATGAAGGCTGATCCTATTCGACAGGAGAAAGTAATTCATGGTTTGTTTGGGGGGAGGGAAACTGCGCCTGTAACCCATTCTGTTTTTGCTATTGACATAAGCAGTTTAGATAACACTTTTAGGTGTTGTTTTGAAGCTTTTTCTGAAAAAAAGATATGTGGATTTGTTCCAACAATCAAGAATGCTCAGATTATAGAGGAATTGAAAAGCAGGAAAATTGAGGTCAGTGACACATTTTGCGAGGAAAGTGAAATTGATTTATTGATAGGTGCAGATGTCATTGGTAAACTGTTAACTGACGAATACCTAGAATTACCCTCTGGTTTTAACTGCAGTCAAAACAAAACTGGGTTGGACGGTTATGGGTAAAGAAAATGATACTGTCAGGGTAATGCCCTAATAAGTCTTTCCTTGCATGTAAATAATGCTTCTTTGAAATCTTTATGGGAGCTTGAAGTTTTGGGTATTTCCGACCCGACGGAAAATAGTAAAACGAAAAATCTTCATTGCGACTACGAGATTGATTTTCAGAATAAATTATCTATTCGGCCCGATGGTAGATATGAATTAGAATTATAATTACCCTGGAAATGCGAATCTACCAATTTATCAGATAATAAAAGCATTGCTTTGACACGTCATCAAAAAATGATTAAAGAGGGCAAAAGAAAATAATTCTTTGAAGGAATATCAAGAAGTGTTTAGAGAGTGGGAAAATTTAAATATTATAGAAAAGGTTCCGGAAAAGGAATTAAACAATAAATGCCACTTTTTACCACACAGACCGGTTATTAAGATGAATAGTGAAAGCACTAAGGTAACTACCCGTTTTTGAAGCTTCATCTTGTGAAAAGGGAAAACCATCTTTGAATCAGTGTTTATTGAAAGGACCTAATTTAATAGAATTAGTCCCTGATATTTTAGACAGAATGAGATTTTTTCCTATTGGTCTGAGTGCAGACATAGAGAAAGCATTCTTGCAGTTAGGAATTTCTCCGAAGGATAGAGATTACTTGCGATTTTTCTATCCAAGTGATGAGGGAGAAATAGTGTATAGGCACTGCAGAGTAGTTTTGGGGTTTCCTGCAGCCCCATATCTACTAGGTGCGTCTATTAAATATCTCTTGGAATAATTGTCCATCTGACTTTTTAGATGTGGCTGACAAATTAAAAAATTCGTTCTATGTAGATAATTGTATTACGGGGGGTGTTTACAATATTGAGGAAACAAGAGGATTTAATTCAAAAGGCCAAAAGTCTTATGTCGAGAGGCAGATTTAATTTAAGGGGATGGGAGAGCAATGTTGCTTCCAAATATACTACAAAACATTCTGGGGACACACAGCTCTTTTAGGAATATTGTGGAATTTAGACAATGATACTTTAAGGTGTAATATAAATGTAAATATGATAACTTGTGATACTAAGGTAACTAAGAGACTGATTCTGTCTATTGTACAATCAATTTTTGATCCAATTGGAATACTTGCACCAATAACTTTGCTTCCAAAACTTTTGTTACAAGAAACATGGAAGTTGAAATTTTCTTGGGACGAGGTATTGCCTCATCCCAAGAAAGGCTCTATTTTGTAAGTAAATTTTTGTGTGGTTATCTGATATACTTTTGTTGAAAAATGTGGCAATACCCCGATTCATTGGAACCTTTGCAACAGTTGAATTGCATGTATTTGTCGATGCCTGCAAATATGCTTATGCAGGATGTATTTTCGCGAGAAGTGTTGATTATGTAGTGTAAAATCCGCTCTTAATAGGAGCCACTCTAGATCTTAATAGGAGCTCTTAAAGGATCTTAATAGGAGCCACTTAAAATCTTACTAGGAGCCACTCTTAAGAGCAAAATCTAGAGTAGCTCCTATTAAGAATTTGACGATTCCTAGATTGGAATTAATGTCCTGTTGCATTGGATCCCGATTATTATATTCTGTTTGTAAAGCTCTTAATGATTTTGATATAAATGTAACGTAATTTATGGTGTGATTCCACAGTCGCATTATGGTGGATCAGAAATCCTGGTAATTGGTCAAACTTTGTAAGCAATCGTGTTAAATAAATTACTAAGTTGACAAAACCTGAATCATGGAGGCATGTGCCTGGTAATATGAACCCAGCAGATGTTGTTATCTCGAGGGTTGCTCTGCTAAACAAATGATTAACTCGGAGTGGGTTAAGGGACCTCTCTGGCTAAGAGAAAGCCCTGAATTTTGGCCTACCAATATTGTTTGTCAGCCGAGCGAAGCTGACTTGGAAAAGAGGAAGGTAAAACTTATTAATGTTAACTTTTCAGAGGATACCACTCCTTGGTATGCAGAAAGAGTTTCTGATTATGAGAAAATTATTCGTGTAACCGGTTGGGTGTTACGTTTTATTTCTAACTGTAGGAAGAAGTCAAATTTGTGTAAAGAATCTAAACTAACTGTTGCTGAAATCATAAATTCCGAAAACGTTTTGATTCGGTTGGTTCAAAGCTCAAATTTCCCTGACATTGGAGCTCTTAATCCACTTGATGTATTCATTGATAATGAAAAAATTATAAGAGTTAAAACTAGAATATTGGAACTCAAAGACAATTCTGAATTTTTAACACCAATTTTGTTACCGAGTAAATGTATCTTTACTACATTGTTAATTGAGTCAGTTCATAAGAAACATTGTCATGCTGGAACTCAAATGCTTCAATCTATTTTAAGAGAAAGATTCTGGATACTGAAACAACGTAAAACTGTGCGTAATGTGTTAAAAGGGTGTGTAATATGTCAACGATATAAAGCGAAACCGATGTCTTGCGAAGTGACTCCTCTTCCTGAAGATCGCGTAGGAGATTATAGGGCTTTTGAAATTTTGGGAGTAGATTTAGCTGGCCCATTGTTTTTGAAAGACGGTAAGAAGGTTTGGATGGCACTCTTCACATGCGCTGTGTACAGGGCAATCCATCTAGAACTGGTGACTTCGTTATCAACAGAATCTTTTCTTTTGGCTTTAAGACGATTCATAGCCAGACGTGGCAGACCACGAACCATTTATTCTGACAATGGGACTAACTTCCGAGGAACTTATAACGAAATGTCTAAACTTAACTGGGACATAATAGAGAATGAGGCAAAAATAAAGAGAATAGTATGGAAATTCAATCCACCAACAGCCTCCTGGTGGGAACGGCTAGTTCGCATGGTTAAAGAACTTTTAAGACGCTCTTTGGGAAAATCGGTTTTATCTTATGAAGAACTGGAAACTTTAATTTGCGATTGTGAGTCGGTAATTAATTCTCGTTAAACCTTTAACATATATTTCGGAGAACTCTGAAGATGCCTATCCCTTTAACTCCGTCAATGTTTTTAATTGAAAATTGTACTTCGAATGTAGCAGATATAGATAAAATTGACTCTCAGCATTTTTTTAGAAGAATTAAATACCGCACAAAACTTCTTAAAGATTTAAGGAACCGTTTCCGAAAAGAACATTTGGGGCAATTAATAATGAAACAACCACAAAATAAAGTAACCCGGTTGCCTAAAATTGGGGAGATAGTCTTAATAGGCGATGATTTCAAAAAACGCTTGTATTGGCCTTTGGGTAAAATTATAGAGAAAATTCCTGGTCGGGATGGCAAAGTTCGAACAGTTAAACTAAAAACTCAGAATGGGATTTTCATAAGGCCCGTTCAGCGTATTTATCCACTAGAGATACAACTAAGTGAAAATTATTTAGTTGAAGAGCCTAACGTTAACGACGATAAGAAAAACGATCAGACTGACGTACAGCATATAAAACAGAAATTTACGTCGTCAGGACGGCTTGTTAAGAAGCCTAATGTACTAGACCTTTTTAATAGGATAACATATGTTTTTGAGTCGTTTGCCACTGACTCAAAAAGGGGGGAGGATGTTGCATAATCGAGAAAATATTGTTTATTTTTTAAGAATTTTATTATTACTATTTTTATTATTATTGTCTATTTTTCAAAAGTGTGTTTTTGTTTTATTATTGTGTGAAGTTGTAACTATATGTCTTTTCTTGTGTGGCAACAACGCTTCTGTAATTCTTCAATTTGAACTTTTGGATGTGTGCCAAGTTTGATGGCGTAATGCTCTGGTGAGAGCGTCGATTGATTGTGTAGATGAAACATGTTGTTTCAGAACGTTATTTCTTTAAAATATGTAAAATAAATGTTTTGTTTTCTGAACTCGGATTATGCAAACGTTATTTAGTTTCAACACCCTCACTAGTAGCTTCAAACTTAAATCGTTTTCTGTTGATGAATTCATTGAACATACATAATATTGAGACACAGTACTTTGAATTTTCGTTTATTATTATTATTATTTCTGTAATTTTTGCCCTTTCTAGACAACATAATAATCAGAGGAAGCTGATTGTTTCCTCGTTGAGCTCCAGTAGGAATTTTGATTAATACATGTATAGGATTTTCCTTCCTCTAGCCACATTAAGGCTAACTAGGTTGTCTCAACAACCTACCCGACGTGATAATTATTTAAATGACTAAAAAGGCGTATCAGCAGCTCCGCGTAACAGAAAGGACAGATGCGTAACGTGCGCCAGCTAGCGAAAACACGCTCTGAATAAACTTCAAGATTTACCCATTTAAATACTTACTTAACTTTAAATTAGCATGCTAGGGAGGAAATGCAAGGGGAAGTTGAGGAGTTCAGAAAAGATAACAAAAATTTGAATTATTGGTTAATTGAACTAAGGGAAATTCTACACATGAGCATTTGTAATCGCATTAAATAATAAACCTTTTGCTATGCTGTGTATGCACGATACACCTGTTGTTATGCTGTGTGTGATCTTGAGTTTGTCAAGACAAGGCCCTTTGTTTGAAACACTAAGCTCAAATTATATTCAAAATGTACTAGCCAGCTTCTTTGCTTAGATTTTACTACTTTCATTTTAAATAATACTGATCTGCGCAATTGCGAGGTTGAAAAGAAGGGAAATTTTTCAATGCGTGTTTAACTGCTTGCCTAATTATTCCGAGTTAACTCGATTCTTCAGAACCTCTCGAAAATAATTGTCATAAGTTAACTCGTGATTCATGGTTCAGGACAGACTGTTTTCTTATTTATTCCGGATAAACTTGCCATGTATTTTTGCGACTATGGTGGTGACTGAAAATACGCACGTTTAATGCCATGCCTCTTTCGACTCAGCTTTAATTTCATAAGTCAGATAATTATTTACCAATTATATTGCGTCATAATAATATTATAAAACACAAAAATTTTGGAAAATTATTTGTAGAACATCTTATGCCTTGATGCATTAATTAAAAGTGCATTGCAAAAAATTGCATAATGCTTGCACGAAAACTGAAAAATAAAGTTTTAGTTAAGGACTTAAGTTCAAAACTTTTACGACACATCTGATTGCTCTTCAAGGCACAAATATTAAGAAACACTAACTCAGAAATGTAAATTACCTTCAAGTCGAATTATCATTATTTGTTGCATTATAACATATTTACTGGTGTGCTAATTATTTCAGAGACTAGTTGTATCTAAATTCTTACCCAATTTTTATCAGTTTGTATTCACCATTTATTGCAGTAAGTACAAGCAGATCTTAATATCATTCCTAAAACTCCTTTTAGTCATTTTGACACAGATAGAAGGATGTTTTACATAAATCATCTTTCAAATTAACGAAGAAAATTTATTGTTAATTAGCGGATGGGTATGATTTACTCGAAATATTAATTTCAATACAAAAATTGCATTTAACTGCTCAGTTTTTATTTTATTTCACGTCAAAATTATTTACAATGACAGTTAAATATAAAGTTTCACAGGTCTGACTTAATAGCTATATCAAAAATTATCTTTCTGTGAAATCTTCCTTATAATTATCATTTTTTTATTTTCTGTTATAATCCACGAACAGCAAAAACAATCTATCCATTAACTGATACAAAATCTAAACTTAATTATACAGCTTCTTAGTAGCACAGACATGGCTGTTTTATAAAATTATAGAGAATGGCAATTATCTTCTAAATTTCTTTTGGACAGATGAAGCCTTTTGACCTTTCAGCTAAGGCTTTTCAGTAAGCACTTACAATTTCGGAATATAGGCGATGGAAAATTCAAGTGTGTATGTAGAAGCTTGAACTATATCAGCCCAAACCCCATCTTTTTTATGCAGAATAGCTTCAACTTTTGCGATAAGACCATTTTTGTTTGAGAAAATTCGTGGATTGTATTTCCAAACTGTAATTGTAAAGTGTCAACATTATGATGACACATTATTCCTAGCATGGAAAGGCAAACAGATGCTGATGCTGTGTTCACAATTTTGGGCTATACAAGGAATTCATATAACAAATTCTTCATTTTATAAAAACAGAGAAAAGGAACCATTTGCAATGTTTCAAAATTAGTACCCGTTTATTGAACATGAGTGTAATTAAGATGTTTGCATATTAAAACTCTTCTAAAAAAACCTTCTAATTTGTTTGCTTTTTAATTTTTTCAAGATCACTAAAGCATGAATTTTTTAATTAACTTACTTTTGGATCTCCCTTTATGCTCCATAATATCCTCATAAAACAAAGCATAACCATGCTTGCTTTTTCGAGTAGTTAAAAGCAAATCGTATAACAAATAATGATTTTTGTATTTGTTTAATATTTCTTTAATGAGTGAATGATGAATTAACAACTATTTTCGAAACTTTTAGAATATTTTAACTATTTATTGAATGTTAATTTAGGGTCACGATACTACTTCTATGGGAATAAGTTGGGCTTTGTATCTAATAGGACTTCACAAAGACGTCCAATCAAAACTTCACGAAGAAACGGACAGGATATTTGGAAATGACACTGAAAGGCCCGTAACTGTTGACGACCTTAATGGCATGAATTACCTCGAGTGTGTTCTAAAGGTATGAAAACATTTTTTCAACTTGAAATAGTCTTAGAAATACCCAGTTTGACATAAATTATGCACTATTATAAATCTGAAAGCTAAAATTAAATGCTTTACGCCTCAAAATAGGCAACAGCTCACAGAATTGATAGGTTATCATGGCATTTTACGACGCTCTATAGTAATGTAAGTTTACTACAGTGTAATGCAAAGAATTTATTTGGAATATGTTACGAACGTTTCCAACGTTAAAATATTACGTAAGCTCTATAACATGCCTCTGTGGAATATTTTGTTTGTGTCATTAATTATTGGTAAATCAGTTTTCTTGTTTTGAGAGTTAAAGTGTGCGTAGTAGTACGCATAATTTTTATTGCGATGGTAATAATTTATCTTCAGTTGCTATAATTTATTTTCCTCAAAGGCCTTTCCATAAAAATAAAGGAAAGAAACTAAATCATAGTTTGCATTTTAATGAGCATGTGTAATATCAAAAATAAAATTCTTATATTAGTAGTAATTATTTCCAAAACAATTTTTAGTTCCAATCTTTACTTATAACAATACCTGTAAACTATGATGCCTTGTAATACTTAATGGAACTTTTTTTGTTTGGTCATATAAACTCTACTAGATCCTTCTGAAGAACCTGGCGACTTCTCGCATAGGCGAGTGCTGGCAATAATACCAGCACAGAAGAGGTGTGAAAAATAACCCTTTATCATCTATGAACAGAAAGACAAGTACTTCGTGTTTTACAATAACACCGACAACTTGCCGTGGAACTTAAGGATCGTTACGCCATAAATTCAAGTCTAAAGAGTAGTGCTGGACTAGCACCTTAAGTTAAGACTAATTAGGTTGACTCGACCACCTACTCGGCGTGATAATTATTTAAATCGCCAAAAGACGTATCAGCAACTCCGCGTAACAGCAAGGACAGATCCATAATGTGCGCTGGCTAGCGAAAACATGCTCTGGATATACTCCAAGATTCACCCATTTAAATACTTACTTAACTTTAAATTAGCATGCTAGGAAGGAAATGCAAGGGGAAGTTGAGGAGCTCAGAAAAGATAACAAAAATTTGAATATTTGGTTAATTGAACTAAGGTAGACCCTACATACTGACTTAACGGCGTCATTTACCATATACTAAAAGATATAGGCAATTTTTCTTTGATTTTCCTTTTCAAATAAGCTGTTGTCGGTGTCGCAGTATAAGCATATACGATCAGTTTTCCTTTGAAGTTTAAGTTTTATTGACATTAAAAAAAGCGGGAAAATCATCCCTAGGTTCATTCCTAACCAGAATATTTTGCACTTATAAAATTTTTTCAATAATTCATTGCAATATTTTGCTGAATGACAGCTCATAAATAAACATCTCATATTTCTACTGGCTTTTTGAGATGAAACAGAATTTTTATAGGAAATTTTGCTTCAGTTTTGTGCATATTTAGATGATTGACCGAAATAACGCATACGTCATTATAACAATACGCGTTTCCTTCAAAGTTGAAGAAACCAAATTACTTAAATTAACCAAAGTTCAGCGCAAGATATAAAAATGTATAAGATAATCGATAGGCTACATAAGATAAGCGATAAGCTACATTGCAAACTAACAAACGAATTCAACAAACTTATCAAACGCAAAGCTATCATCTGGACATTTGAAACACCAATTACTGACCCGTCCATGACCTGATAGCTTGCAATAGAAATCTCAGAATCGCCAGGCAAGGAGTAGCTTGAACATCACGCTTAATGTATGGTTATTCAAAGTGTCACAGAGAAATTAAAACTATCTTTATCAGTATGACGTATGCTGCGCCATATTGGTTGTTACTAATACCCATACAACGGACAACCTTTCTCCCTAACAACTACTTCTAAAACGATTCAGGATGCAATACTAAACAGCGAGATTTGTCAATCAAAATGACGAATAGACAATGGCTTATCCATGTACCCCTTTCTTGACATAGTAGGACGCAGCTTGAAACCTGGTCGTATTGTACTGTTTTATCCGACAAGACGCTTCGGATCTTTCAGTGGGTTAGATTTTGAGTGACGACAAATTTAGCATTTTATGGCTTCTGTCTTTTTTCTTTTTTCCGCTTTCAGGCGTCTTTCCTGGGATTGCATATGTAGTAGCGAGAAATATAATTCCTAGCTAACTAAACCAACTAAGATGAAATTAGTTATGACAGCAACGTTAAAATCTACTAAAATTTCTTTCAAAAGAAATGCAAGCAAGAAACGTAGCACTATCAGTAACGTGAAAGAGCTGATATTCGAATCAGTCAATAGCAGAGTTTATAAGAATCTATAAAAGATAGAAAACTGCTACTTGGAAATTATCTACCAATTGTTGAAATAATTTATGATTGCTGAAATGCTTTTTTCTCGTATATTAAAAGTAACCAGTTGTTTCACGGATTAAGACATTTTTTAGCTCTGCAAGAGTTTCTCCATAAATCATTCTCTCTTACAGAGTCCGTTAGTAATAAAGGCACCTAACGGTTTAAAAGACGATAATTTACTGATGCAATATAATTGAAAAAAATCAGAAGTGTTTTTGACGGTATGCAGGACATGTAAAATAAAAGCAGAATTATTTCTATAATTATAACACTTACGTAAATTCATGAACTACTTATTTCTGTCATTATTTGTAAAGATGTTAGTTAAGAGTATATTTGAAAACATTTTAATAGATAAAAACATTGGAATGACTATGAATTTATTTTGAAGGCATAATTAACTCAGATGTTAACTTAGAATCCCATTCTTTTCTTTTCCATAGAAACAATAACCTTGTACAAAACATTTACTGACGTTAAGCATAAACATTTACTACGCTTCTAAATATTAAACATTTACTGTGTTTCTAAATTAATATAACGTACGCTAAAGGGTGATACAGCCCACTGAAACAAACATCTTGCTTTGCAATCATAAGAGTAGTGATTATGTGAAAAAAGGCGCTTTCTGTTTCAACAGACCCACATTATCCAACGGAACAAGAAAACAGGAGGGGTATGTACATCGAAACAAAACCTAAATAAAGATGAATAAATATTAATAACTGCTTTGTATGATGAATCAGAATTACATGAAATGCAAAATAATGCTAAGAACAAAAAGTACAATTGAAGTCCATACGTAGAAACATCAGTAAGTACTGAGATGAAGAACTCTTACTAAAGCTGTTCAAAATTGCGAAGGCCACTTTTTATGCAGACGTATCGCCATCGTAAGAATTCTGTGTAGCGTATAATATATTAGTATGTATTGGAATATAACACTACTATGTATATTGTATTAGTCTGGAAACACTCTATATTGTAAGAATCAGAATTTCGGGGATTATGTCCATACGTTTCTAGGTAATAACGTTATGTCGTTGTAATCTTCGATCCTTTTATAGGAATTTCCATTTCTGCCTAGTTTTTATAGGAATCTTCAAAACTCATCTAGAGGTCAATCTTTGATATGCCCTTCAGTTTAACCACAGGCCTGTGCTTTTCGGTTGTCCCGGGCTGGAAAATCAGATCTCCTTAATTTGTCATGCACGCTCACAAAAAAGCAGGTCGTGCGAAGAATGACTGCGGAAGATGGCAGATGGTACAAGATGAAAGTGAAATGAATGCGGAAGTACAGAAGAATGGGATATTATGTAATTTGAATACGACATATGCAGAATGATAAGAGATTTTTTACTTGATCAGAAATGCTGTACTATGGAACTGTGATGGAAAGACTGCTGGATAATAGTAGAGATGATTGATCGATCCAAAACTAAGATTCAAGGTGAACGTTATGTGGACTTCAAAAAATTATTTCTAACATGGTCCTTTGCGAGATATTTTTGCGAGAAATATGCTAGCTTGGAAGACTTACTATCATCTACGTAGTTTATGACAACTTGTTGCTTCAGTCGAAAAAGGTTCTTAATAGGATTTCTCTATGGGTTTTGTCCACAATATTTGTGATATTGTCTGCGATGTCATCCCTTAACCTAACTAGTTTTCAGTCAAGTCGTATGAAAGAATAAATTTTAGGAATATGACAGAATGCATAAACCGGTGGATGTTGAAATCCTATATCAGTACCCGTTGACAAGTAGTCTATGATAGCCTAATAATGACAACTTTTTTGGCCTTTGTTAATTCTTATAAATATTATCAGAAGCTTTTGAAATTTTCCTATTATTTCGTATGATTAGTCGACGACTGCTTTCATCATCATCGATTTTCTTAAAATACTCAAAATATTGATACAATTCGAGGAGATTTTAACGAGACTTAACCCCTTAACCTACAATGACGGGCATAGCCTGCGTAAGACGGTCGGGCCAAACCTAACCAGAGACATAACCTTTTCCAGAGAATATCTTGTGGGGTTGCTTCTCTAGAATTTATGAACGTAAATTTCGACGTGCGAATGCGACCAAGAACAACTAGAAACTGATCCCGATACGAAGAGATAATAGAAATACATCACGAGCCTTGTCTGTGCTATCTACAAACCGCGACCGCCCTACCAGGGGCGATGCCTGTCATGTTTACGATTGCCCGGATTAGCTTGTTACACAAGTCGTGCAAATGTCCCGAAAGCTGCGCGAGCTTGTTCGGCCCAACATCGATTTCGGCCCAAAATCTTCGAACAATTTCGGCCCAACATCTTCGAATCTAAATCGTAGGGTAAGGGGTTAAATGTTATCCGTATACCATTGCTTCAGCATTTCATAGGGTTCCATTATACGATGTATAATATACATTAGTCGAAAGATACACAGAACAAGTACTGCTTATTAAATGCCAACATTTCTACACTCTCTTGCGCATCCAATCTCGAAATTTTTAGCTCCTAGCATGTGCATCACCAGGTGTCCACTGAAACAGATCAGATACCAACAAAACCTTAATTTTAATAATATACCCCGAATTTAAATCAATGCAAAAATAATAAAACTTACTATATTTTTAAGAATTAATTGATTTCGTGTTTGAATTTAGGAATCCCAGAGGCTGTATCCTTCTATACCTATGATAGGAAGGGAAGTTGATGAGGATACCAGCATTTGTACGTATTTAATTAAATTTGTATTTAAATTTAATTTTAAATTTAATTAATTTATTTAAATTAAATTTATTTAATTAAATTCAATTTTTTCTTATGAAGCATTTGTATGTATTATATTTTTAAGCTATATAAAAATAATATATAATCTTATTTCTTCCAGTATTTCTTGATGTAACATTACTCTTTCTCAGAAAAGTAAATTTTTAGTTCATGTTTATGTACAAAACGGTAATAGGTGGTAGTGGGTAATAAACGTTAATAGATAATAACGGAAATAGATATAAACGGTTATAGATAATAAACGTTACATAGGTGGTATTATATGAAAAGCGTATAACCGGTATTATATGAAATGCTAAATATTACGTAGATGACTTTTTAAATATTTTTTCTCTCTCGAATAGAAACTGTAGCCTGTGGAGTCACGAATCAGTGTATTTTTGAACTCTCACTTTTGAGTATAACTCTCGGCAAAATACTATTAACGTTGTTTCAAAAATTGTTCGTTATGTTAGACACATTTTTAGAGCAAAATATCAAGTATTTGATTACACTGGATTTTAAGGATGCTTTCGATATGGCATAATGGTTAGCAATTATAAATCTCTACAATGACTTCTATTATCCTTGAAATCTAAATTCTGTAGCAAAACTGTATTTCTTGGAATACAATTTGCTTTCTTCGGTTGCTCAATGTTAAGAGTGCCGTCCTCAAGGACCATGCTGCTGATAAGGATTTATGGCAATATTATACGGAACTTTAAAAATTTAGATCTTCTTTACGTCGAAATTGTTGCTTTTGCCTAACTAAAGCAAAAGTAAAACTCAAACTGGAAATATAAGGAAAATAACTGTATTTTTAAATTTTATGGAGTTAAATGGATCATCTTAACAAAATTTAATTCTAATAATGAATCTATGTTTAAATGAAAATGTAATAAAATATGAATCGAATTTGCGTTAAAATATCCCTTAGGACTTACTAACACTTTTATGAAGCCATTCAGAGACTTTTGTTTCACGAAATATTGATTTGGTATTTGGTATTTTAAATACATTTATTAAAAACTAAAAAACATAAATATTTAATAAAAACAAACATTAAATCACGTACATCGGCTCATGCAGAATTACGGCCGCTCGTTCCCCATTGCCGGCCTTAGTGGTAATCAGATTATAGTTCAGTTATTTGATAGGATAAAAGAAAAAAACTCTAGAAATTAAAACAAAAATTATTCTATGCAAGACACAGAATATATGGCGCTAGAAACGTCTTTTAATAGTCAAATTCTCTATTATATGTTAATAAAAATTAGCTGTAAATCAGGTATACTATAAATTATCATTATGTCTAAAAGTCTAACTAAAGTATATAATTTAGTTAGATTATTTTAATATGCATATAAAATTGAAATTAAATCCAAGCACAATCATGCTACTCAAAGCTGTTACTACTCAATGGTAACCTGATAGTCGGGAGTCACATGCAATCAACTCACAGGTCACCAATAAGCCTTGGTGCAGTAAATTTAAACGCACACATAAATTAAAGTTAAATGGAAACACACCATTGCTCGTCAAGTCTTTTGGTCACAAGTGACAGTCGTTGGACATCAATCCATAAATCACCAATGTGTAGCAGTACAATAAATTTTAATGCATTTTAAAATAAATAAATCGAAGGAATTTAATGCCTTTCAAGAGTGTTTCTCAGCTATAACCTACAGGATCATCAATGCATTTGAGGGTCATTTACTGTCAACCCATAGATGGCCAGTGTGGGAAATGCTGTAAGATTATATATAGAAGGTACTTTAAATTAAATCTGAACATACTGGTGTATATGATGGGAATTGATTATTGGTGATCTACTGATTGAAAGTCGTGTGAGGTCAAGCCGTAGGTCACCACTGTGGGACAGCGCAGTAACTCCTATTTTAATTAAAATTAAGTCAGAGTACGTTGAGGTTGATGTATGGCTGTTAACCAGTACTGCCGGTCAGTGCTTGTTAAGGTCACTAATGACCGACAAGTCTAGAGTCATTTAGAATCAATCAGCGTACCAGTCCTGAATTTAAAAAAAAATAATTAAAAATATATCTATTTTTAATTAAAATTATTTATCGGTGCATATTTTCTTTGAAGGCTGTTGGTCGTATGTGGCGTATAGATTCAGGGTCATTTAAAGTAATTCCACCAAAGTGTGGCAATGCAATAAATTGGACATCAAATAAAAAATTATTTTAAATACGTACATATCTTTCAAGGCTGATGAACACCAGTACTAAATTCATTGGTTATTTATAGGTTGAGGGTCAGTTGAGATTAACTAGTTTAATGATGATGGCCAATACAGTAAATTAAAATATAATCGAAGCATACCGGTGCATTTCAAAGAGAAAGGTCACTGACTATCAGTCGCGGATCAGTTGAGGCTATTCCTTAGGTTTATAGTGTGGAATATTGGAAATATGGAATATATTGAAAATGTGGAATATATGACAAATATTTGAGTTAAAATAAATTCGAAGCATAACTGATGCCCGTCAAAGCTGCTGGTCACCAGTGTTTTTCAAGATCATCAGTAACGTATTGGTTGTAGTTTACTTGAGGTCAGCTCATAGGTCACCAATATAGAGCAGTGAAATTTGAATGAATTTTAAAAAAGAAATTAAACTGAAGGACACGGTAGTGGTCAAAGTTATTGATCATTGATCATCTACGTCTTAGTAATCGGTGGTTTATAAATATTAACAGTCAAATCTAAGTCATTGATGTGGCTTAGTTGGGTCAATTTAGATAAACTGTCAAAATTAAATGAAATCGGAAGATTATGTTGACTTTTAACAAAGGAGACAGCATCGAAGGATAATCGAACCAACGCTCATCATTTATCGTTAAAGCCCATGATCACGCTGATTTCCTGTTACACGAGTAACGGCAGTGCGATGTTGTTTATAGTCGGTGAATACTGTTTAGCAAAATTATAGTTACATATAAAATGTGTAAATCTGCTTGTACTCAAACATGTTATGTGGTACATACATGCGTTGATTGTTTATTATCGCGTACACATTCAAAAATATACCAGAAACGGCCAATTCTACCGACAGTTGAAACTGAAAAGTGGGGATAATCAGAAAGTACCTTATATGCTTTTAAAACCTTAAAATTGAAAACAATTACTTAAAATGTGACATATTTTGGAAGAAATTAGAGATCCCCCTGAATATGGTAACCCGGAGTTACATGTCCCATTTTTCCCAGCGTAAATCAGGACGCATGTTGTTTAACAATGATGTATCCAGTAACATCACTATTAAACAATTGTATAATAATATTTTTCGTAAAAGCAATGTCTTAAATATTGAAATGTAGGCAAGAACTAAGTTAGCAAAATATAAAATCAACTTTCTTTAATTTGTAAAAATAATAATATTAACGCAAAATTTTCTGTTTTATTTCTAAAGTTCTTTTCTTTTAAAGATTATGGATATGTACTTCTTATTTTTAGGTGGTTACACAATACCTAAAGGAACTTCATGTATAGTATTAACTTACCAACTTCATCGTGACAAAGATGTTTTCCCAGATTCCGAAAAGTTTGATCCCGATCGTTTCCTACCAGAAAATTCTCTTAATCGTCATCCTTTTGCCTATATCCCATTTTCTGCTGGTCCAAGAAACTGCATAGGTAAAATTTAAATTTTATTTTACAATAATAGCTCGGGTATGGAACGCAATAAGAAAGTAAAGTAATACGAATACGCATTTTTTTAATTGTAATGCAGCTTATTAATTCCAGAATAGTTCCTATAAATCTTTGGATCAATAATGTAAAAAAGAGGTAAAAATTTATATTCTTCTTGCAAATGGCAGGATATTTAATATATTCGTCGGGAATGGTTAGAACCCATATGCCATTCAGCTGCATTGTCGATGAGAATATTCCTTAGTGTTCACTACAGCGGCGACCAAATTGCATTTACGAGAAAGGGAAAGCTACTTTCCAGTTTCGATGGAGGACCAAATGCCATGAAGGACAAATATTATGTACCAAAGGTATTATGCTCTGATCCTCGAATACTTTCTGTCTTCTCTGTGTCATCTCTCTACCTTTATTGCAACACTTCATGATGCTTCTAGTGTGAAAGTTGAAGCGCTGTATTCATGCTTTTTACAGCGGTGTTTGGCATCACTTACAGCTACAGGCATCTTTCACTAGGTCCGCTGGACACATCCGTTTGGGTTAGATTTAAAAGCAAGGATTCCCACCTTACCATACCAATATTTATGTTGGTTTGTATATTAGCACTGAAGGCCTAATGAGTAAGTTTCCTCAGGCGCAGTTTTCATTAAATAATCAAAAGTAAAAAAAAATTAACTACGAAATTAACTACGAAACTAACTAATTTAATAAAATAGGAGAATTTTGCTTAACTTAAGCATAACAAAAAGTAATAATCTTCACAGACATTAAAACACTGAATTATCGAAATGGAGATAACTTACATACAAATATAAGTCATACATCTTCAAGCATAACTATTTAGGCAATAAGAAAAAACAGGAACATACACTGGTGTACAAAAATTAAGGACGAAGTCGAAAAATTAGCATATCAGCTGAACGAAGAGGCAGAGCGGACAGAAAAACCAATCAGGAGATTAAGTAAGGTGATGTACGGTAGCACATGCGCAGATATGCAGGTAGACGTAATGGGGGAGTGTCTGAGTAGTATAAAGCATTTTTTCGGTGTAAGGTCAGTATTTCTGGCAAAGAGGCAAAGAGATTGCACGCCGTATAGCAGTTAAAATCACACCGAGTTGCTGCCTCAGCGAGAAATGGCGAATAATCAATCTGTTAGACGACATCTGGATGCTTTTACCCGAGGTCGAATCATTGGGAAGTTGGAGGAAGGCCGCAGTGTGACAAGTGTGGCTGCGGAGTTCGGAATTGCTCTCAGCATCGTTTCACGACTTAGGAGACAATTTCAAACTACAGGAACAGCTATCCGGGGGTTTAGTAGTGGTGTCCACGAGGAATCACACCCGCAGGTGACCGGTATATTGCCAGAAGAAACAGGCGGCAGACAGCGGGAGAAATCATTAGACACACGACACAGGCGACTGGACAACCGATATCGCGTTTTATCGTGGCCAGAAGACTGCACGGTGGTGGTCTGTTTGCACGACGCCCTGTACGGTGTGTACCTCTAACGCCTGCCCATTGGAAAAGGCGTTCTCTGTGGTGCCGGGAACACCGGAATTGGAGAGACAATGAATGGGGACGAGTACTCTTTACAGATGAGAGCAGATTCAGTCTGAGTAGCGATTCTCATCGCATACTCATCTGGAGAGAGCGGGGAAGCCGCAATCCTCCCTCGAACATCATTGAAAGGGACGGGTATGGAGGTGGCGGTGTTTTCGTTTGGGGAGGCATCATGCTTGGTAGTCGTACAGACCTTCACATCTTCGACGCAGGTTCAGTCAACGGGACCCGTTATTGTAACGAGATTCTTCTTCCATATGTGCGTCTTTTTAGAGGCGCTATGGGTCCGCAGTTCCTTTTCACGGACGACAATGCACCATGTCATCGCACAGTAGCTGCCGAACAGCTCTTAGAGAGTGAGGATATTGAACGTATGGATTGGCCGGCACGATCTCCGGATCTCAATCCCATCGAGCATGTATGGAATTTTCTAGGCAGACGCTTGGCAGCTCGTACCTTACAACCAGTAACGATTCCGGAGCTTCAATTGGCGCTGCAAGACGAATGGCAGTAATGCCTCAACAACTCATTGACACCCTCATTCTCAGCATGGGCAGACGCTGTGAAACCTGCCTAGCAGTCAGGGGAGATCATATCCCCTATTAAAGACCGGATGTTTCTTGCTGGACTCCCATCACAGGGATGTTTCGGCCTTCAGTCGCATTGCGCTCCATGCTACTTTTTCAATAAAGCTTCTTTTTATCCCTCTGATTTCTCTTTTAGTAAGTGTTGCTTACATTACTCATGTCCTTACGTATTGGGGATCTTACGGTATTAAATGTGTTGATTTGGAAAGCTTTTGTACAAAGTTATATTGAAAAAAACCGTCTCGTCCTTAATTTTTGCACACCAGCAGTGGCGTAGCTAGGATTCCAGGCGCCCGGGGACAACTGAAGAATTTGCGCCCCTTCCTGTGTGCCAAAAATAGAAAACATTTCATTAAAAAATTTCGTAGCATCAATTTGGCGCCCTCTGGATGCTGCGCCCGGGGACAGATGTCTCCCCTTGCCCCACCTTAGCTACGCCACTGCACACCAGTACTTTGACACCGTACCTGAAAAGAGAAAGTACTAACTGAATTAGACCTTTGGCCGTGATATAAGTAGCTAGGGTGAAAATCGAATACACTGCATGTAGCTAAGGTGAAAGTCAAATATACTGCATTGCACGCGAACTTTACTTTCTCTCGCCAATATATATCTTGGCGCACGTTCGTTTCGTATGCCTTTCGAGTTTCATTTTGCAAAATACCTAAATTTATGCTAACAATTTATCTACAATTTCGTAACATTCCTTGGTTACTTAACCTACAGCTATTTCGTTTTTGCAGTTCATCAATAACAGAACGCATAATTCAATATATAATAAATATAATGTTAATACGACTGATAAGATGCGATCGGATATAGTAGTATTGAATAATTCATGAAAAACTCCTACTTGCCTTACAAAGCCGTCACAAAGTAGTAAATGACAATGCGAACATTTACAATCATTTTTTGAACGCATGCAATAACACGTTTAAGGTTAATGCTCATAAGAAAAGAACTTACAGAAAGTTTCGGCATGTAGCTCACAATGGCCAAATAAATGGTACATTATTGTTGCTGGCCATGATCCGAAGCACCCTGTTCTTGGTCTTCATAACAGTGACTAATTAGATGCCTGACGAACGAAAGCTGCAAGATCCAAAATTGAATCGAAGGATATCTTTCTCTGTTTTTTACACTCGCCAAAAAGCGCAAAGACGTTTTGGGCATCATTATCACTACTGATGAAAAATATGCGTCTTACTGAAATGTGAAATGCTGGAAGGCAGTGCGAAAAATAGCCAGTCGCCGGACTCCAGAGCCTTTTTTACATCCATTCGCCATATGTGTTGTATGACTCTCGTAATTCATTCTTTACTGAAAGAGCCTACAAGCTGCCTCGCAATAAAAGTGCTAAACACTGGTAGTTTGTTAGGATACAAATGGTAGCAAATGGACCGCCTGCATGGGAGGTTTCGTAGGTGTCTTAGAGCGAATGCAAGCCAGTTTCCTTTCAAACTTCCTACACGAAAGTATCCCATCCCTTAAGCAGAAACTACCGAAAACTGTTGAAACGTAATCAGGTATTATTAGATTTAGTAATAACTGAAATAACTCCATTTATAGTGATCAGCATTAAATATCAGCATGAACCCGTACGCCATAATGAATGCTACATAAAATACTCATAAAATTTCACTGCACAAAAAATTCATCATTATTGTTTACTATTGCAAGTGTAGTGGTATAACTCATCGCAGCCCGCTGATACCATCAGAAATGCGTTCTTCGCGCTCCATTTTTTTTTTATCCAAGGCAAGGAATGCGTTGGGACTGTATCAACGCGAAGATTTTTTTTAATATAAAGGCGAAAATTGTTTAAAAGAAAAAGACAAGAACTGTTAGTACTATGGAAATATTTTAGAATTAATGATAAATATTGTATTACAAATAATTACTCATAGCTGAAATTTTTCATTAAAACGCGCTTACTCATTTCGTGGTAAGTGATGTAACACATTCTACTTAAACAATAACGTATAATTAAAGGAAATATTTTTTGAATCTTTTTCATTATTAAAATTATACTTCTATTTTCCTTTTTAATTATGCACAAAAAGTTCATGAAGGCATAGTATTTTTTTATTTCACAGCACAAACAAGACTATTTTAATTAAGACTAATTAAAACTATTATATAATTATTATAATGTTTTAATTACACGCATTTATAAAAATATAGGCAAAAAATTATATAATTTAATCCTAACTTACATTTTCAATTCAATAGTGACTGTGAAGTTACTATGAAGTTTTAATCGAAAAGGATGTTCGCTGGAACCGATCCTTAAGGCACGCTTTGGTTTACCATTAAAAGAGGTGGGAAAAAATGTTAAAACTGTACATGTAAATAGAAATATCGAGAAAGAAATTCGAAAGAAGCCCACTAGTTGGCTGTAGCCGAATAAAATCTAAATATTAAGTGTGAGGCTGACAGGTGAGCGCTTTAATCTTCTTTATGGTTATTATGTATTAAATAAATTGCTTTGGATTTAAACAAATAAATCAAAATTTAAAAGATATAATATTCTTTGGCGGAAAGTCAAGGAAATAGAAACAATAAGAATAACAGTCAAAAGTTTTCATACAGAATCAGCGATTTTGGTAAATAGATTTAAATTAGTAATGTCCAAGGTCTTCTGAAACTGATTTTTTTTTTCTTTGTAAATAAGCGTAAATTGCAGACTTGCGAAGAAAAAATTAGTGCCCTTAGAATCCCGTTGATTTGTTTAAAAATATTGTCAAATTATACATATATATATGTAGTATATATATATATATATATACCCACCCTCTTTACTCTTTAAGAGTCCTTGCTAGGCCTTTATTTTCTCAATCGCTGGTCAGCATAGTCATATATGTTCAATTATAGAATTGTTTTACATAACGAAAATATTCATATGAAATTATTTTTAATTAATTTTTGACAAATAACGAAATCTAACATTTAATGCCGTCTCCCGATTCCTATACATAAGTATAGGAAACGTAGAAAAGTTTTATACTCGTTATGAAGAAACAGAAAGGCGAGACGTTTGAGTCCTGTACGACAGAAATTATACGGGATATTTAATTTCAGAAGTTTCAGTTTTTAATGTCATTTTTAACTTGCCTTGAAGAATCGGTTAATTAAGTTAGAATAATTCGTGGAAATAAGTTTAAATGAAGTGCAGCAAAAAATGTGTGTAATTTAATATACCGGTAAAATGAAGTCCTATGTTGCTTAAACCAGATTTATTTCTCTTAAATTTTTATCATTCTTCCTAATTTTATTTTAGGGTATCACATGGTGAATACTATTTTATGTCTTAAATTTAATATTAACTTTCGCCTAAACGTCTAATGTCTGCCTGTTTCTCACAGATGTCAGGTGGCAGTTTTCGTAACTTCTCTCGCACCTCTGAAAATATTTCTTGAACCTTCAGAAAGGCACGCGCCCAATGTTAAAAACTACTGCTGTAATAGACGTGCAAGTGCAACTGAGAGCTCATAATGCACTGCTTTATTTTCAGTTGAATTACAGTTTGCTTCTAAATACAAACGAATAAAACGCTGCATAATCTTAATTTATCTCATTATGTTCTTAAAGTTATTACGGATATAGCAATCTATCAGTTGTTGTTGTTATCTTGTCCATGTATTTCATGAAACAATGTTTGCCAGAGCCTCAAGGAGGTTGGACTTCTTCTTTCCACTTAAATTTTCAGCAACAGCACCCCGGGGACTGGTCCGAGAGTCTCTCACCCCTCTCCTCTATCACCAATGACTTTCACGAGAGGACTTTCGGCCATATATTTATGCTGTTCCCATGCCGTAAAGACACTATACATTTACAACATCCATGCCTTCTCCGAGATTCGGATCCGGACCCTTAGACACCGCAGTAGGCTCTCTTACCACTGTCCCGTTTGGGAGGTCAGTCTGCCAGTAAAACTGCTAATAAAAATTTGTTCTAACATCCAAAGAAATGTGCCTTTGTGATAAACCTTTATGTACACAAACCATACTCGGTTTGTTGATTGTAAATGACTTTTTAGAAAAAAAAATTCAAAATTTGTATTATATCCTGTATTAAGAATTTATTTGATAAACGATAACTGCAATTAGTAATTTTTGTGCTATTTCAGTTATATTTGACATTCAGATTACTTTCAGGTCAGAGATTTGCTGTCATGGAGCAGAAGACCATAATCTCTCATATTTTAAGAAACTATACGCTGGAGTCACTGGATCCAAGGGATACCATTCCACCAGCAACAGAGCTTATTTTACGGTCATCAAAATCGATCAGAGTTAAATTTAGGTCCAGATATCCGAACGAAATCTCAGTCAATGAGAAAAATACATTACTGGCAAGAGTTTAAAATATATTTCATTCGTCATTTCAAACGAAATTTACATAAGTTTCTTATATGCATACACATCTTTAATCAACTAACTAAACAAACAGCAATAACAAAATTTATTTCTAAAAGAAAATTTTTGTTTAAAAACTTAAGAAGACAATGCAGCTATGTTCAGAGTACCGTCAGTTCGTAACATTGATAACATTTATTTCATCCTAGTATGAAAAAGTGAACATGGTTATTAAAAATGAATGTTTGTAATTGTTAAAAAAAGGCATATTTAAATTTCATTTTGTTTCTTTTTTTACATCAATCCTGACAATTAATTAATATTAGTTTCGAAAAAATTATAATAAATTTCAATTTCAATGTCTTCGTTTAGAAGTGTTGAGTGATTTTTTTCACACAAGGTGCCTTTTGATTTGATATTGAAAACAATAACAAACATGTTTCAAACAATTGGTAACATCTTACGCAGCACAGCGCAGGATCAAATTCTATACATCCTGTAATCACAGCGTTTACTGTTGTTCTATCTATATTTTTCCCCGTCGCAGGAAGAACCAACAATAATTTTTCCCTTTAGGGATTTGAAGTTGGAACGAAGACGTTATCATAAATTCAAAATCTTACAATAAAACGGGATAGCCTATACTCTTACAAAACGTTGGAGCATTCAACGTAGCGTGAATAAACTGCATTTAAAGCACAATTTCATCATACTAGTTATTATTATGCATTTTATCTTATTAACTGCTGCAATCTCAAGGTACATAGAAAAAAACACGAGTATTATAGTAACAATAATTAATTAACTAACATAAGTAACAAATTTCAACTATCAAAAGAAAATACTAAATATCTGCCTGAAATTCTGAAAACAATCATTCATCAAACTTTGCAAGTTCCAAATGGTATAACAGTTCAATAGGCCATTTTATTACACCTAGAGATGTATTTACTCTAATACTTCTTACCTTGTTATCACGGTCTCTATGTAGCTCCATAAAGCTGCGTTCACACTGGTCCACTGGCGCGAAAAGCGGAATAAAACGCTTTCCGCGTATGTAAATTCACACCAGGGCGGAAACTTTCGTTTTAAAAATTGCCATGTGCACACACTAGATGGCTCTTCATCGGAAACTTGGGGGAAAACTTGAATTTTTTGTGGTATTTTGACTTTTTACGGTGTATATTTAATTAAAATGTATCCAATTTCTGCTACATTAAAACTTATTTTACTTCTTGCTTTAGGTAAGAGAAGCAAAATACAGTGGTTTATATTAATATGAGAGGGATGACTACAGCAAGGAGATGCAAATAATTTAATTAAAAAAATTTGCTTGAAAGACATCGAAATTTCTTTTAATTGCTTTCACCTCATCAATTCGATGAATTTCTAGCCCTCATTGAAACATTTATCCAAAAGCAGAATACTAATTTTTGTCAGAATATCGCAGAAAAGAATTATTTGGACGACAGGAATAGGATATCCCATAAAAGAATCTTTGTACATATCTAATTTACTTTATTTATTAATTTTGTTGAATGATAATTAAAAATTCGTAATCGCTTATTTCGATTTTAGAGAGTGAATTTTTCATGGGGTAGAACACCATAAAATTTTTTGCATGATGTATGAGTTTCCCTTAATATTATTGTTTTAATTATATTAATTAAGTTTAATCCACAGTTTTAATTCATGCAATAAAAAGCCACAGAAATTTTAAAAAAAGTGTTTTAGTTTCTGCATTTTGTACATATATTTTACATTTGAAGAGTCACTGTCTAAAGTTTTATTTCATAAAATCACTTTTATTTAAAACTCATTGAAATAACTGCATTTTATATAATATTTCTTTTTCTATGGTAAAAACTGAATTAGTAAATTTGATAATTCTCCTGCAAGTGTCTTTTTAATTAATGAAAAATTATCATCGGGATTAAATTTCAGGCTAAGTTCATGTATCAATTGTCTGAAAAATGGTCATGCTTGTTTAGAAAAAGAACATAAAGCTATTAAAATGCCTAGAAGTATCCCATGAGATCAGCTACATACTGGCAAGCTTCCCTAGATAAATATTAGTTTTCTTAATTTTTTTAACAAGCGGTTTATTCATTTCCACTCGCTTAAAATTAAAAACTTACTAAATTTTTAATCAGGTAAAACAGCAACTTAATACTAATAGCAGTATCGCTTTTGCTAGTCTCGTGTCAACCTAAACGGAAACAGATCATCTTATGAATTGTGCCAAAGGCTTGTTGTCTAAAGGATAACGCATACAACGCCGTCTGGAAGGCGAAAATTGCGTTTATATTTAATGAAAAATAAATGCAAGCTTCTTGCGCTTTCCAAAGAAATTATCGCGGTAGATAAAAATATTTGGCGTATTCGTATCATCATCAAAGGAGGGAAAAACAAGGCCCGAAACCTCAATACAAGTTTCTAGTATCAATTAAATTTTCTACTGAGCGTGTTACCTCCGCGTTAATGTGTCTTGCGAGAAAAATGGTTTTCAGACTTCATCTTCAGGAAACTGAATAAGCATCTGTGTTAAGCATCTGTTAAGCATCTGAATAAGTCTGTGTTAAGCATCTGAATAAGCATCTGTTGTTACGGTGAAAGCAGGGATAAATTTTTCTTTAAATATTTTTTTAAAATAGCTATTCCATTACAACAATGTCTCTGGTGACGCTTGAATGCACATCTAGAAGACAATGTTTTATCCATTTGGCAAAAGAAGCAAGCTTAAATTGATGTAGATAGATTTTAAGAAAAATTCAAAAATCTGGGATTTCGGAATCCATCACTATTTTCTCGTAACAATCTATTGCTTTAGGTTATTCTGTAAAAATTATCAACCATACATCATTTATGATTGATAACGGAGGTTTATTGCATCTAATAAACTTGAGAATTTTCCTTTAAATACTTTATTATGATAATCTATGAAGTTATTCATTTTAAATTATCATCTAAAATGTTTATTAAGATTAGTCCATTTGACTTTTTATTTTCCTCAAGAAGAGTTTTTCAAAGTGTAATCATTTAAAAACCGTGGTATAAATTGGACATTTGAAACGAGATGTCTGAAACTGATGCGGCAAGCGACGATTCACTGGGTCTCCAGTCTTTCGAAAAATACCGCCTCTGATCTCGCTTCTGATTGGTCACCGCTTTCCACCCGAACACGTAATCGCATTGGTGAACTGGGCTAACAAGTACCTGCTACATACAGGAGGTACTGGCTTAACCCTTCCCGGCTTCCACACTTGCCGAGGTAGTTGTTATCTTCTATCAAAACTACATCATTTATATTAACAGGTTTAATACATTTTTATACCTTTTAACGAGAGAAGATATTCTCTTTCGTCTCCAAAAATCATTTAAAATCTTTCAGCGATACAAATATGTCTTAGGTAAAACCACTTTGCTACTTGCAGTATTTTCTTAAATATGACCATCCTTTTTCTGTAAGGATTAGAATAGCATTATAAGAAGAATCCAACGTCATGGCATCTTAAAAACGGGATAACGTCACAGGACTCCATTGTCGCTTTTGCTTTCGAATCACATCCTTGCTGCTGTTCCATCTCCCAACTCGCGTCTCGCCTGCGAAGCCATCACGTGATTTCATTGGTGGTGGCGTTGCCATCCTGAGATGTAAAAAGAACATTTTTGCCCACATATATAACACAGTGTTGCCAGAAAATTTTCAACTAAGTAGCAAAAATAGACTAAAAAGTCGCAAAAATCGCAAATGACGTTAGGGATCACGTGATTTTTTAGACGTCATAGTTACGCATGCTTACATGACCTCTAACGTCATCACAAATTTACCATCTATTGGTTCTGTAAGTTACAGACTGTATTCGATTGTTAGTCTTTTTAATTATGCATCTTAGCTTTAACAAAAATTTTAAAACTATATTGCTCATTTTCAATTATTTAAATAACCATTTCTTTTTTAATTAATTCTTATTAATTTAAGTTTCTATTTTTTAATTAATTTGTCGATATCCATTCTTAAGCGATTACTCACGTTTATACTGTAGCGCTTTTGTACTAAATTTTTTGAGTTGGCTGAGTTGGCAGTTAATTTTTTTAATTCATTTTTTTGGCTTAATTGTGAATCTTTTAATTGAGGAATGCGTTTCAGTGAGTTTTCCTTTCTGTGTGGTGGATCAGTTTCAGATTCTGATTAAGAAAGTCTTCTCCTTTCACTGTTAAATATATTTGTGTTGTTATTTAGGAAAATGCCGTTGCTTTGATTTTTAAGTCATTTCCATTGTTTAGTTCTTAGCAACATTATAATCAGGAGTATGAATTTTATTTCTTTCTCTGTTTGAGTACCCAATATATGGCTCACAAGTTGCAAGTTCTTTGGTTCAATTCATTATCACCATAGAACTGGGGCGGGGTAACTGTAAAAAAAAAAACGCACGGGGGACGAGGAAGGGCGGTGAGAGGTCCCGAAGCATTTATTTTTTCTTTCTTTCCACATTTTCACTTCCCTTAGGCCTTTCTCGTCAGATTGTCAGATGCCAACTTCTACCTGAACCTAAATAAACTGTTTTTTTAATATAAATTATTTTAATTGATACATTATTTTAACATAAAAGCATTCTAAGATATATTAAAAAACCTTTGAATTCGCAAAAAGTAGCATAAGAAAATTATGGATGTCGCAAAAATTTCGCAAAATCGCAAATACTAAAATTTTAGTAGCTTTTTGTCAAAAGTCGCAAATTTGCGAAACATCGCTTGATCTGGTAACACTGATATAAAAGTGTGTTGTAAAAAGAACGTGGAAATCCCTGACGTACAATTAAGGCACCGTACAAAGTCATCGCGGGACTAGGATTTATGCAACAATGGTAATCTCTGAAAATAGATATGTACTTTATTTCATCAAAATTAAAATTTTTCTAACAGATAATGTACATAAATGCTTTTATAGAGCACCCAGAACTGATACATGAAAATATCATTTCAAATAACATAGAAAAAATTTTGTTTTTGTTCCCAATTACTTTTTCAGCGAAATTCAAAACTTTTCACATAAGCAAAAGACGGACAACATTTCATGTATTAGTTCCATTTTGTGCAAAAATTCTATATGGAGTAACAAAAATTGTACTAGATTTTTAGCTAAAGCTTTACATAATGGGTCGCAAATCACATGATTTAAAAATATATATATTTCCGTCATTATAAACTATTAATTAGAATACTGACGCAGAGCTTTAATTTGTATTTACTTGTACTGTAATTGTCAAAGCAGCCATTTTGAAGTTACGAATGCAGCAATTTGTATTTTATCAGATGTCCGAAGTAAGGTGGAAGGACAAGCATTTGTAATTAGAAAGGAGTCTGAATTGTTCCAATATTTCTTTGTGATATAGTGGGATTTAAACGATTTACTGTCAGTTACAGACGTGCACCAAAATTTCTCGTCAAGCCTCCAAGAATGTTTCACTCTCTGTTATTTTAAAACTACATCTTGAAGAAAAAAAAAAAAAAAAATGGGTCAGTTCTATATCTCCCGTTCTACTGCGCCAATTGACGAAATTTAACTTTGCATTTTTTATGTCTCGAAACCGCGACTTAAGATATGTATTAAATTTATATATAGTATTGTTCTAACATAGGAATTTTGACATAAAATCTGACTTTTTCTGAAATAACATAACCTTTTTTTTTTTTTTTTTTTTTTTTTTTTTTTTTTTTTTTTTTTCAGTTTCATTTACGAAAAACTATGCAAAAGTGCCAAGGTTTGTTAAAAATCGAAAGAATATTTTTAAAAAAATCAGATCTGAAAAATTTTAGCTTCTCAATGGTAATTCAGTTTGGTAAATATTTATTCATAACTCTTTTTATATTACACTTACTTAATTCCTTCTTTCATGGTTCGAAATTTAGGTTCAATCCAAATAAAAATCGCAGAAATTTTCTAATTTATTTTTTTAATTTGTATTTAGAAATTTTTATAAATTTTTCGAAACATTTTTCACCATCGACTGCAAGTAAATGTACCTCTAGGCATACCTGAAAAAAAAAATGAACGATGCACATTTTTTCCGCTAGTGCGCGATGAAAAAAGAGAAAGGAAAATATTTTACTGTAAATTAAGAATTTCCCTAAGTGAATTATTCTTGGCGAAAATCGAAAAAGTGTGCCAGGATAAATTTTTAAGTTTCTCGCTAAATCTTTCATCAGTTTACAAAATCTAAATATTTGAGCATAATTTGAGTCGTAGAGTCGTAGAAACAAATGCTCTAACAAAATAAAGTAGCGAAACATAATATAACGTAACAGTATGCGAAAAATGAATAACCGCAAACCACGGCTAAATAAATTGAAAAAATTTATCTGTTAAAAAACATAAATTAGAATTAAGTTCTCTATTTTTATATTTTCAAATAAAAAAAATCATTAAATTTCTAGAAGAATCGAATACACCCCTTTCTCACGATTATCAGTATTTCAGTTTTCCTCAAATTCTGATTGCGTGAAAGATCAGACAGCATAGATGCTTTATCAGTATAATAAAAATAGCTTTATCTGTGAACATCGTTTTATTGGTAAATTGTTTAACATTGTATTTCTAGAGTTACACATCCTTGTGAGTTTTGCCACATTGTTGAAAATAAGATGTGGTCTGCTTTATTCAGAATGATGGATATAAAGTCATTTGACGTTGGAATTATTTTGCGTCCTTTTTTAATTGCGACGTTATTTTGTGTAATTACGGTATGGATAAAATACACTATACGAAGGCGAAAATATAATGCATTATTACCAGGCAGGAAAGTGAGACTGATTAGCTTTTGTGCTAATTTAACAGACGTGCGTTATAATGAAATTTCGAGGAATGGATATTCTCTTAATGTTTGTGAGTATGGCATATGTTTCTTAACTTTTCCATATATTTATGAATTGCAGTAGAGTAGGAATTCAATAAAAATATTATCAATTTCATTATTAGTTAAATTAAAAGTTTCATTATTAATACATGAAAAGGAATTCTAGTATAGTGTATTAAGCTGTCGCGTTTTGAATATTTTGAAGTTTTTAAATACATTCAAAGCAAAGTAAAGTCTAATAAATTTCTAATAAAACATTATAAAAAATCTGATGTTTACACCACATGACTTCCTTGTACGGAATATTAAATTATACGCATTTTTTCTTGCATTTCATTTAAGCTTATTGGACTGAATTAAATCTACATCATCGATAGCGCATAAACTACAACAGAATATTACACGCTATAAAATTCACTATACTTGTTTACCATAGCGACATTCTGTTAAGTAACGCTAACAGAATGTCGCTACGACCACTGTTAACCACTGTTAAGTAACGCTAACAGCGTTACTTAACAGTGGTATATTTCGTTCATATTATAACTCAGAATGCACAAAATTTATATCATTTGAAGAATTATCTAATAGTTGTCACATGTTCTATTCAAGTACAACGATGTATAAAAGAAATTAAGCAAACAAAACCAAAAAGAAACAGTTTTTTCACAGATGATTCACTATTTCTCATTTAATTAATTCAGTTCTTACTTCGCGAGAAGGCAAAAATACATAAAAATCAAAATATCTATATTAAAAATTACGAAATAAATCTTAAAGCCATATTTTCTCGAATAAGTTCCAGAATGGATTAAACATGATTTAATTCGCAGTAATAAAAGAAGGCGTTACCTTTGTTGTTGCGAAGCTTAGTCTCTTTAGATTGGCAACAAATTTACTATTCTGATGGTTCAAATGTAAGCAAATATGCCTGCCATGCTATTTAAAATTAGGCTTAACTGAACTTAAACAGCTTTTCAATTGTTGATATTGTACAAATATTGCTTGCAGATTTACTAAAGGCATAAAAACCTTAACCGGAAAATAAGAACAACATAATTCAATCATTTTTAAGGCAAAAAATGCACAATTCACAAATATATAAGAATAAGGAATCTGAGATCACTGAGCCGGATAACAGGGTGGATATATATATATAAAAATATATTTATATACGTTTGGTGCGGCCGATTGCAACCAAAATACGAGGTGCACATCTACATGTTATAGCTGTCCTATATACAAAATTTCATCGTTCTGAGGTTACTCGTTTTTGAGTTATGCGAGATACATACGTACGTACAGACACCACGAAACATTCTCTTCAGAATTCATTTTAAGGAAGTTTTATAATTGTTTTTTTTTTTTTTTTTTTTTTTTTTTTTTTTTTTTTGAGGAAAAGAGGCTTTTATTCTATTCTTACGTACAGATGTCACGCAAAAACATCGTTAAATGGCATTCGATAACGGTCAAAATGGATATTTTCGTGGAAATATGCTGCCTGAAAATTTTCGCGATTACAATACTTCCTTTTTACTTCGTAAAAAGGAAAAAGCAAAAGTAAAATGTAAAAAGTAAAAAGGTGTCGGGTAATAATTTATACATGAATGAGAACGCAAAAGGAAGTTCTTTTTTGTAAGAAAGAATTATAAATGCTTTACATTGTAATTTTTTTATAAATAAGGACTTCAATCATACGTAGAAAAAAACATAAGCTGGTGTTGTGCTTTTATTGCAATTTCGATCCATTACAATTCAAATTTCTTTCTTATTAATACTAATTATGCAATGAATTTTAAACTGTTACCTGTCGTTATGAAATGAAATTATTAAGATAAAAATTGCTTATATGTTTGCTGGTCAGCCCAGTACTCTGTAACTGTATACAATCTGTCAATTTCCATACAATATTTTCAGTATAAGAAACACCACTTTGTACCTCAAATTACATTATTAAATTAAACGGCACTTTGGTTCAACTCTAGAATTTTAATGTAGTTATATAACATTCATATTTAGTTTTTCATACACGTTCCAAAACACTATATATAGAGATCGGCCATAAAAAACTTCCCGGCTTGCCCACAACTAAGGCCAGAAATGGTGGTCACTTTATTATGGAGGTACCTAATAGGTGGGCCACCTTTGCCTCCTATGAAGAGACAGACAGTTAAAAACCATGCCTTCTCTGAGATTCGAATCGGGGTCCTTTGGCATCGCAGTCAGCTTTTCCAAGAAAAATTTAATATGTAAAAAAGGAGAAAAATTTAGCATTACAAAATAAAACAAGGAAGGAAAATCTTAAAGGATTCAAATTTTAACCTCTCACCAGAGGATTCATTAAAGTATTTTATGCTGTCGCTGGCATGAAATGTTAGGTTACCCATCTGCTCTTGGCCTCACTTCTTCTAACTCAAATTTGCTGTGTCTTTTTAGCTTTATTATTAAGATCGCTTTCTTTGCAATTATGCCGCATAAAATTCAAATACGACATAGGTTTAACATTGTAGCATCAGAGTACCTGTACAGGAAGCGTTAAATTTAACGAGTAAGTGTTCTCTTCGAATGTTTATAGCAAAATAACTTAATTGGACATAAGCTGTTCTTCAGTATGTTTAACAAGAAAGTAAATAAAATGTACAGAAAGGGCTAAACTACATATATATTTTTATATTTTTAGTACTAATAACAATTATTATATAATGTAATTAACTGGAGATAGTGACACTTAAAATATACTTATGTGTTTTTCTGTTAACAGAGTAATTGACGGCATAGTATCAAATTTAATTGCATCATTACTAAAAGTGCGTTGACTGTTGTGAAAATTTTGATCCAGGTGATAATAAAAGGTACTGAGCTGCACAATATTTAATTCCTATTCGGTCTACCGGAAAGTTCCATTTCTATGATATCAAGTTTCGACACGTAAGCACATGCTTATCTGGCGCATGTAGGGCTCTCTATTTCCATCGCTTAGTGTATACATACTGAAGTAGCATATTAACTAAAACAAAGTTGATTCACGTTAGTCTTAAGCGTGAAGCGATAGTGTACCCATGGCTACTGATAAAGTTCATTTATGCCACTGTATTTTATATAAATTTCAACAAGGAAGAAATGCTACGAAAGCTGTAGAAATTTATTAAAAGTGTTGGGTGAAGGTACAGTTTCTGATAAGACATGCAAAGGATGGTTCGAAAAATTTAAAATAGGTGATTTCGACCTTTCTGGGTAAACTACGTTCTGGGCGGCCATCTTTGACCGATGATGATGTTGTTAAGACCATGTTGGAGCAAGATCCTTTTCTGACAATATCGGAGATTGCAGAAAGGCTTAATCAGCTCAGCAAACATTTCGGACCATATTCGGATGATAGGATTGGTGTGGAAATATCAAAGATGGGTGCCAAATGAATTAAGTCAAAAGAATTTGATGATCGAGTTGTCATATGCGCATCTCTGCTTGCTCGAAACAAAACTGGCCCCTTCTTGAACCGAATGATAACTGGGGATGAAAAGTGAATTACCTACGAAAATATCGTATGGAAAAGGGCATATTGTGAACCCGGAAAACCTAGCCCTTCCACCTCTAAAACCAAATTTGACTCTGAATAAGAGAATGTTACTTATATGGTGGGACATTCGAGGACCAATACATTATGAGCTTTCAAAACAGAACAAAAATCTCAATTCGGAGAATTATTGTCAGCAACTGGATAACTTAAAGACAGCAGTCCCAGAAAAGAGGCAGGCGATGTTCAATAGGAAGGACATCATACTGCATCATGACAATGCCAGGCTATATGCTGCTTTGGGGACTCGCCCAAAAAATGCACAACTAGGCTAGGAAATTCTGTCGCATGTACCATATTTCCTGGACTTAGCACCCTTCGACTATCACTTGCTTTTGTCCTTACAAAAATTTTTTAAGGGCAAAAAATTCAAAAATGGAGAAGATATCAAATGAGCACTGATTCAATTTTTCGCATCAAGAGATACAACATTTTTCAAAAATGGGATACACAAATTGCCCTCACGCTGTCAAGATGTTATTAATAATAATAGCAATTATATTATTTAATAACGTTTATTGATGGTAAGAAAAATTTGTATTTTGTTTTATTCCAAAAACGGATAGAACTTTCCGGTAAACCGAATATTAGCGTTTCATATAATGACAGTTAATGCCTGGTATAAATTGTCAGGAAATTATTCACTGTGTTACAACTGAATACTTCTTCTAAAAGTGAAAAACTTCCGAATAATTTTTTATCGGGTTATTCATGAATTGCAATTCTGGCATTTTTGCGTTAATTTTGCACATTATATCCTTTAGAGAAAACCCCTCAGAACATATTTTTTAATTCTTTGATAAATTTCCGAATACCTGCAAAAGTTCTAATACTTGCCCCACTTGGGGCTGTATCATGTTTTTTCCGAGCAGATTTGTTTTGAACCATGCTAGCGTAAGAGACTCCTGCCTGGTATGGTGGTAGAAGCTTTGGCGACTGAGCCACTACTTTTCAAAAATCTTCGATTGATCTAATGAAACTTTAATCTTCTCAATCAGCAATTATCCTAACCCTTTTTTTAAAAACGTTATCTCTAAATTTTAATTTCTTTAAGTATAAATTTTTACTTCTCAAGTTTTCTGTTTCTTAAGTATGCACTTTTATTACCGCTTTAAGTATGCATTTTTGTTCTTGCTTAGTATACATTCTTCTTCCTGAAACTAATACAGTGCTTTTTACGTATGTCCTCAGTTATTCTTCAGATCCTGAGTGCCTATTCTGAATTATTCAGAAACAAAAAACTGTTCTGCTTCTGGATATTGTATTCCCCTTTTGTTATATGTGTGAAAGCTGATGCAGTTGAAGTAAGTACGCTACTTACATGTGCATATTGTGTAATTCTTTTTGTGGTTTCTGCGAATAATATCAGATAATTTTTTTAAAAATTTGCAGAATGATATTAAATCTTGAATTTTATGTGATTAATTTAGACATTTACGTAACCGTACATACAGAATTTATTGCAAAATGTAAGAGCTAATATACTAGTAACCTAGTTACATAAATAGAAGGGAGCCAGTGTCGAAACAAAATGGTATCGTGCACTTTCTAGGTTTTGCACATGTGAAGAAATTTGGACATGTCTAGTTCCAGGTAAGCTAGTTTTTCCATAACTTATTTTTGCGATAAGCATTTCCTTGCATTTTCCTTTTCTTGATAAAATGACTGAGCGTAGAAGAAAATGTAACGGTCAGAATTGTAGACACTTACCTCAGATTCTATATATGAAAATACCGAAAATTCATAGTCAGCGGCTATTTATGTTTCTGGTTGCAGATAAATACAGTCTGTTCAGTACTTAATAACTTCGCGCTCTTAGAAATGCTGTCTCCATCGACTGAAGATCATATTTTAGAAGCAGCCGCAGTTTCTAGTGGCGGTTAAGGTAGCAATTATAACTGATTTGAAATATAATGGACTTACTCTTAAAATATGGAAAACGTGAATTTATTTACAGTTGATTTCAAGAAAAAAGATTAGCCGCAAATGCAATTCACATCATTTTTTACAGTTAAAAATATTGTTCTCCGTAAATAGGCACAAAAATCATTGGAGTAAAATAAATAGTTGACTGTGACGTTTTCCAAAGATAGAAAAATTAATACAAATATTTATTACGACTAACTTAATTTTCAAAGTGGAAAATGCATCCTTTGAATAAAGATTAATCCTATGGAGATTTTAAGATTTCTGCATGTCTGACTGAATGTTAATGAGGTAGTGAGGATGTTTATATTTTTATGGAGTGTGTTATTATTTATGGTGATTACAATTGAGGATAACTTTTATGAACTGCTATCAGAAGCTTAGTTAGAAAAGAAATTTTTACAAGGTAACAAACATAAGCGATAATGATGATACAAAAATGAAAGTATATAATGTTCTAGCAAAAATTTCAAAATCACGTTTATGGTCATATTTTTGTTTAATTCAGCCTGAAACAAAATATAGAATATTTCCATAATAATGTAAAAGGAGAATTTGTTAATAAATTCTCTTCTAATACCAATAAATTACAATTTACAACTCCAAAATATCACGCTGGTATGTAAATATTAATGTAATTCTTTACTCAGCCAAACCGTATAATTATATATTTGAAAATCTGAAAGATTTCTCCTAAACTTATTTTTTCATACAAAAAAAATCTTTTACAAGGTATATTAGCGCATTTATGCTATGGTCTACTGTAAATTTTATTCTACTATTTTTCTTTAATGAAGTTATATACTTTTATAGCGGTACGTTTTTAATGTAAATATTGCAATAGTCTTTGTCACAAAAGTCAAATTTAAAATTTTGATTATTTCAAACCATTTTTTCACCTAATGACGATTTTATATTATTTCGTTTTAGCTCCTTGGCTTTTTCTGTATTACTTTGGCGCTTGATATTCTATATTTTAGCGAACGGACCTTAATCTTTCTTAATTAATTAGTTATAGATTTTGCCGGAAACACATTACTTTTGCCTTGAAGATGAAATTTTTATATTCCGTTAATAAAAGAGAGGGATCCTGTATGAATTTTAATTCTCAAGCATATAATTACTGCTGTAAAGGAAATAGCAAATGAGAATGGAACAGAGATATTAACTGCCTGTGACTAGAAGTGAACTAGAAATGAACATTGCATGCTTGATTGCGCCCTCATAGTTATGAGTGAATGAAAGAAATCCAGTTTTCCCAAAACTAGGTGAGAACTTCTTCATTTTTTATTGATGTATATAAAGATGAAACAGGCCTTAAAGTGCCTTTACAGCTGCGGCGGAGATGAAGCAGGAACTCTTTGCTATAGCAAATGGTTTTCGGATGCTGGACGCGGAGGCAAAGAATAGCTGGATATTTTGACCTATGGCTGGTCATAAGTTGCGTGTATGACAGTCTGGGTGACTGTTGTACATATTGGGATTCTTCAGAAAACTTGCTTGTACAGGTTTCTATGCATGATAATTTACTGTTAAACTTCTTGCAGTTTTTAAATACCTATTTCTGAGGCCTCTCCTTGATGTACCGAAAGAGAAAAATCAGTAAGCTTTTTAATGATAATAATACCAAAATATTTAAGACCTTTTACACTTTTGATATTCTTGATGAGTTTCTGGCCTGGTCTAGGAAATGATTTTTAGCAATACGCTGCAATTATATTTTAAAGCCTTTCATGATTTACTTTGGATAACAAATTTTGTATTTACCAACAACCCGCAAAACTGGAAGTATTGGATTGGTAGAAATAAATAGAACTATGGACAGTATTTTATATCGTAATACTTCAAGGCGTTTTACATATCCGCTCTAAAAGCCGAGTGACAATGTTTGAAGGATCCTCCAGAAATGTATATAAGAAATTATTGACATTTATGATAACATACTTATGCTTGTATATAACTGATGGCCTCCAAAGAGATTAAGAAATATAATAATGGAATTTATTTTAGAAATACTGATAAACGTATTTATCATTCCACTAGATTAAGAAGGAAAAGGCAACATTTTATCTCTATCTTGAAAATGTAATACAGTGTTTCAAAATGGATCTTCAATCAATAATATTTTATTGTGAATCAACTTGAAAGTCACAGTTAAATGAGATATTTAGTAATCAATTAGGCATTGTTTCAGATGAAAAAAAATAAAGTTTGAGAATAGAAAGATAGCTCTGTAAAAAATATGATTAATTAACTCGGTTCTTCAGACTAAAATATTATGGGTAATTTGCATTTATATCAGTTACCAAAAATTGTTAAAACTATCTATTGTCTCTCTTTTAATTTGTTCCAGTGGCCTACATTCTTCTAAGATTGCAGTTAATTACTGTTATTAAAATTTAAATAAATGATCAGGACAAACAAAATACTGCTATAACTAAAGATATAGAATGAAGAAATAAAGAGTAATGAAAAATGGTTGACAGTACAGATAACTTTGATTTCATTTACTTTTTGCATGCATATGATAGTTAATTTCTCCATTTGACTCATGCTATTCATTTGTTATCTATTAGTGTAACTGTACTTATATTAGAGTAGTAAGCCAAAAGACAAAAGTTTTAAAAGAAAAGAAATACAGGTTGCCTTACAAATTTGGACCGTTTTCCAAAAATCATATAAAATCGACAATCTGAAGTATCTTTATAAAAGTTACTTAAATTTTCAACAGTCACACAGTAATTTTCATAGTAAATTTCCATTGATCGCATTCAAATGTAAACAGAATCAGAAAAATTAAGACTTTGTATTCGAATTTTGAATACATGTATGTAATTTTAGTAACATCATATGTAAATCACAGTACCTCTTGTATTATGCACTATGAAATGCCTCTAGAAGGCCGAAAACTACCGAAAACATAAGCTTACAGGAGTACATAAATTTAACATTAACGAGATAGCGCCAAGTTAACGATGATTATGGAAATTAATTTTTGTCACCATATGTGGAAAAAAATCATCAAAAGTTTTCAAACTGGACAACCATTTGGCGGCATTTTCCTCCTGCCCTCTATTATAACTGTAATTGGTCTGCATCACTGTATGTTACTGTAACTGCATATGCCTTCCAACAATTTCAAGAAATCGAAGGTACTGGAAATTCGTCGGTGGTCTCAGGAAGACTATATAAGACCGGGAAGAGCATCATTTCTCAGTTTTTAGTCCAGAGTTCGGAGTATCGAATGATCTCCGAGCGAGCATTGCTCTTTAGATGCGTTTTGCATTGTATATTGTTTAACAATCTGAGTAGTTTAAAGTGCTAACTATTGATTGTGCTCTGTCATACTGGGAAAAGCTGTACGAGTATTTTCGTAAAAAATATCAGATCCGTAAAGAGTTTCTGTTGGAAAAATAAATTTTATCAAGTTATCAACGAATCTGTATGCATTCAATCGATTACGAGCCCATACGCATGTAATAAGATTGTAGGATTCTCCACCGTGTAATTCTAAGTTACAGTTGAAAGTGAAGAATCTTAAGAACTGGTAATCGAATAATCGCTTGAGTTCGTGTGACAAAGAATAAACTTGGAAAGGGTTAAAAGACCCTTTATTATCCAAATCAAGATTTAACAGAACTTCGTCTTGGACTTGTACAATAATGCCGACACTTGGGCTTGAACTTAAGAAGACTAAGAATAAACTAAACTAATCATGACTAAAGATATATAGCCGAAGCTATCAAAATTCTAACAGAGTTGGCCCCCTTAATACGCTAATTGGCTGCGAAGCCTATCAAGGGCCTAAAGTACGGCCGAACGTAATAATATAGCTTATGAGAGAGTAGCATACAAAGGGCGGACGTGTGCAGCCAGAAATATCTGGTATCTCTCTCACTAAGACCTCGCGGTAGAACCTCGTAGTAGAACCTCGCGGTTGAATGCCGCTCTTCCTCATTAGCATTCAGACGTGATTCTAAAACTACGTTCTGGCAGGAAACGTCCTGGTTCTGATTCTTTAATATTTCCAGGTGTACTGATTTCCAGTCTTCTTCCATTACTTTCGAGAATCCATCAATAGTGATGGGTTTGTGCTTAAAAAGAGCTCTTATCACGAAACCAGAAGCACAGTAGTCGACAAGTGAAACGTCGAGGGACTTTAAAAGTCACTGAGATAAAGAAATGGATTTTCTTCTGTAAATATCAGACATAAAACTTTCTATTGAGAGCACATTGAGTTGATTTTAACATTTTTCCCACTCTTCATGTTTTTAATTTGCCATTGTAAGAAAATCATCCAACAATCATAAACTCCTTACTGAATCTTTCGTTGCATTGATGGAACCAGGTCTGTACATTCTTTTCTCTTCGTTTTCGATAATAAATAGACCTTTTTTGTTGCAGTCATTTAGGTAAACACGTACTTCATTAAGGGTGTATTTCTATTTATCTTCTGGTAAATACACTAGTTATCATAAATTAAGGTAAAACCACAAAAATGATGATTACTCAGAAAGTTACATGTTTTAATGAAACTACCTACTGTATACAGCACACAGTAAGGTATGTATAAAGTAACATGAAAATAAATTACCAGACAATTATGGTGTTATAAATATTGGCATATGTATAAAATAAATAAATCTGATGTGTCAGTTTGAACTGAAAGCAGCTATACGTCTTTCTAATGCATCTCCAGCATGCTCGATAAGATGGCCACTCCATGCGATGAATTGTTTGCTGCTGAAGATAATCAGCCACGATACGCGCCTTGTGCGGTCTAGCGTTGTCATCCTGTAGCAGGAAGTTATCAACAATTGCCCCGGCATAAGGGCCCGCATAAGCATCAAGGATGTCATCTCTATTGGTCTGTGCATTCATGGTTCTACGTGGAAAGTCTTTGAATCCACCCAAAGAGATACCACCCCAAACGCAGACATTGCCTCCTCCATATGCATCTCTTTCACAACTGTTTGATGGATGATAAAGGGTTCCAGATTCTCTACAAATCAAAGAACGCCTACTATCGCTTTGTAGGCTAAACCTGGACTTATTCGTAAAGAGAACAGTCCTCCATTAATTAACTGTCCAGTGGATATATTGAAGTGCCCACCTCAAATATGATGTGACGTGAGCGGCACGTAAATGGCTGGTCGCCTCGCATACAGACCTCTTTCGTGATTCACAGTTGACGTTGACACCAAGCTTGCAGTGGCCGCAGCAAGAGATGATCTGAGTTTAGTCGGGAGTTGAGGTTCTATTCCATCATAGCAACAAATATCGGCCATCAGCCCTCATCATAGCGGTTGGCCGACGTAGCAGTTGATCTTAGCTGAGCCTCCTAGGTGCCAAATCTGTGGTTAGAAATTGTTGGCAAAGTCTATAAGCCACAGAAGGACTCACATTTAGCCATCTGGTCACTTCTGTCTGATTTTGCCTTGCCTTTAGTCTCCCAATAGTTCTCCATCGCAGTTCTTCTAGCAAATAATGCTTGGAGGTCATTGTCACGAATTGGCTATCCCAGATTCAGTATCACAACAAAATTCGCAGTCTTGCTCTGAAACATGCAATTTTATGTTTCTTGCAGATGACGTATTTCGATTGCAGTGCCACTAATTTGCATATTGAAATTTTACTCAGAAATTCGTATTTAACAGCATATTCAAATTTTATACGGATTGGCTTATTTTTGAATCATTTATCGCTATTTTTACGATTTTCCCTTAATTTTTGGAAACCAGGGTAGTTTTTACATAGAGTTCTATACGTTACTCTGCGTTGAGCCACATACTTCAGCGAAAGCTGGTGAACATTTTGTTTTTTAGCTTTTTTAAATTATACATCTTGGTTTATTATTTTATTTATTGTTGTTACGATGTATTTAAAGATTTTACAATTGATTTCCGTGTTACCAACGATTTAACTTTAAAAACGTTAGAAACAGTATATGCCATTTTCGGGAATTCGTTTGAAGATGTAGAAGATGGTTTTACCCTTTCTGATTAATAATACTTCTTATTTTGCAACAAATGTTAATGGCATGCATTTCAAAACGTTTTGAACTATGGAATAGGAATACTTCTCTTCGGAAAGCGTAAAAACCTATCCTTCGGTCCATACCTTGTTTACATGCGATATGTTGAAAGAAGAATAAATTTAAAAGTAGCAATCGATATTTCTTATTTCAAATAATAAACTTTTGCCAGGAATTTTTATTTCAAAACTGTTGGTTTTGTTTAAAATCCTTTCTCGAAGTCGTTCTAAAAATGCGTAAGCACACTCTGTATACTTTTCATAAATGAAGATTCACCAAATTTATTTATCTCTTTTCTTCTGACATGTCCTTACGTGGACCTCGTTGGGAATCACTAGGTTTGAGCTTTATTTAAAAACCTGTCCAAAAATATTTTGCTTCCGTCTTGTCTTCAGGATGTTTCGGAAAGGTGGCATTGTTTCCAAACAATGTCATTACGGACGGTACTTCTTTGAAAAGTTTTTTATATCCATGTTTTTAACAAAGATTTAGCATCATAGGTTGCCGTATGTTTATTGCCGCTTTTTGCGCGAAATTGGTGATAGCATCGTCTCGAAAGAACAACAAACAAGGGTTGAACTCGAAAATAAGTGTTATGCGGTTATTCAACTCGAATCGTATTCTAATCAAAGGTTTACAAACAGGACATATACGAAATTGGACTTATTCTAAAGCAGACGTATAGAGAGTTACTACTATAAAGTTTTTCATACTTTGAAAATAAAGTATTTCATCTTAACCGCTTTTCAGTATTGCTCATATTTTTATTGTTGAGTAGATTTCCTAATTTTAATACTTTAAAATGTTTTTAATAGTTTTAATGCTTTTAAAAATTTACATAATTTTTCTTAAATTTGCCCACATTCTTTTTCAGTTATGTCATTATGTAGATACTTCATCGTTTAACTCAATCTGTAATTTTAGGATTTAATATCCGGCACAAAAATGATGAAGAAAGGTTGGTTTTACAACTGGCTTCATCCTTGGTTGGGAACTGGTCTTTTAACCAGGTAATTAATACAATTAATTAGCCTAAATATTAGACACATTTTTTTTGGAATGAGAAATTTTGCCAGGATTAGAACTTTATATCTTTCAATTGCTAACTGGACGTTCGACCACGCAGAGCAGGAAAGCATGCATGTGAAAGGACTGAGATATTTCCTTATAAATTCACTGAAACCCTTAATATGAGATAGCTGACTTCTTTTTTTTTTTTTTTTATGCGAGATACATACAGATGTCATGCAAAAAAAATCTCTTCTTAATCCATTTTACCATTCGTTTTGAGAAAAAGAGTCCTTTATTCTGTCCGTACGTACAGATGTCAAGCAAAAACATCGTTCAAATGGTTTCGACAGCAGTCAGAACTGATATTTTCGTTAAAATATGATAGCCAAAAATACTCTACTGATACTCGTTACGCGATGATCATACTCGTTTCGCGATTGCAATACTTCTTCTACTTCGTACAAGGAAGTAAAAATGCAGTACGATGTTTTAATCGATACTCTTTCATGCGATCGTATTCAAGCGCTGGTGAAATTTCTTTATGTACACAAATGTTTCGTAATTATTGAAACAAAAGTATAATTTTAGAAATAAAATCAACTTTAGCAGCAGATAACAAGAGCTCCGATTACTTTGATTTAAATGCATTAGTCAATTACTATTTACTTCGAAATCACTATGAATTAATTAAATGAAAATTCTTCAATATTTGTATAATTAATTAACTTCCATGTTTTGCAAATCTAATACTCACATTAATTTAATAAGGTTACAATATCCTACACACACTGGTCTATTTTCAGCCTTATATAAACTCAGTTGAGATATAGTTTATAATGGAGGCTAGTATGCATTTAACGATGGCTTGAAAATAAATTTATAAGTTAACAGTATAACCACCCTTAATATAGACGAACATTCATGAGATGGTGATACCGACTATGCTCAAGGATCTCTCACTACGAAAATTTTTAAATTTGAAAATCTCGACTTTAGTTGTCGAGAATTTTTACTCATTATATTTTTATATTTTCCCCCCTCAGAAAGAGTTCTCCTCAGATTCAATAATTAAAAAATTTCATGTGTACACCACATGACTTCCTTTTACGGAATATTAAATTTATAAGGTATTTCTCCCGCCTTCTTAGCATGCCTTTGTGGTGTGGTGATCTGCACGCTGGGCGCATATTTCAGAGCTCCGTGGTTCGATTCCCGGCTAGGGCATTGCTCATTTTTCATCACTCCTGCTTCCAAAAATACCTAATGTCTCTACAAATTGTACGTAATTTTCTCTGCATTTCATTTAAACTTATTTCTTCGAATTTCATTACAGATATATCTCTCATTCAATTAATGCAGTTCTCACTTCGAGACAAGGCAAAAGTAAATAAAACCTCAAATTATCTTTATTAAAAATTTTAAAATATTGAAAAATATAAAACACCAAATACAGTTAAAATGGTTTAAAAAAAATTACATTTAAAATTAGAGTTTCTACGCAAAAACAAGCAATTCATCCAGAGAGCAAGAAGGCAGATTTTTCGGTGCACAAAACTGAAAGTTCACGTTTGATACCACTGGGCAAAAAGACAACTGGGCAACTCCACAAGACACTAAAAGAGCACAAACTGACTTAATTCACTATTCTGCCAAGTTTCAAATGTAAACAAATATGGCTGCTGTAATAAAAAAATTAGGCTTAGCCGCAGTTAAACAACTTTTAAATTGTTGATAATTCTACGTCTATCCCAGGTAGATTAACTGAAGGCATAAAAACCTTAATCGGAAGGCAAGAATAACATAATTCAATCATTTTAAAAGCAAAAATGCACAATTTACCAACATATAAGAATATACATATATATATAATTATAATTATATATATATATATACTTATATAATTGCCAATAAAGTCATAAAGTAAGAAATTTAGTAAGAATTCACAATTAATAAATTTCAAATAATCCTATAAATGCAACAAAGAAATTTTAAAAAGTTAAAACCAAAACTTATCAAAAAAGCAATACCCCAACTCAAAAAATTAATGAAATTTAAGGAAAAATTAACATAGGAGAAGAGGAATTCTATCAACTTCAATGCCCCTTTGTCAGGGGGGAAACATTGAAATCAATTAAAATCCCTCTTCTACAAATATCCTTGCTTTTCTGTATCGAGAATTAGTAGATGAACCATTTCAATATATTTTAATTATAATAGTTCACCCGAAATTTCTGGCTCTTTCCCAAAGTAAATTCTAATCTTGTAACTTAAACAAAGAGAATTCTAGTTTATTTAAAGATTTGAAAATTTACGTGAAATAATATAATACTTCAGTGAGAAATTTAAATAAAAAAATTTTTACCTTTAAACATATAGCAAGAATTTTCATAGAAGAGAGATTTGAATTGATTTCAATATTCCTCCCCTCTGGCGAAGTGGCATTGAAGTTAATTGAATTCCTCTTGTGTTATTTAATTTTTTTAACTGGAGTATTGCTTGTTTGAAAAGGTTTTGGTTTCAACTTTTTCAGCAGACGGTATAGTGGTTAGGAGAGCCTACTACGGTAACGAAGGGCCCGGGTTCGAATCCCTGAGAAGACATAGATGTTTGTAAATGTACAGTGTTGGTGCGGCATGACGGGAATTTAAATATACGGCGAGCCGAAAGTCCTGTCGTGTGGATTGTGGGAGTGGAGACTGGTAGAAAACCCCCGGATTTTCCTTGGGGTGCCTCCAACCTCTCTTCGGAGTGGGCTCTGACAATCAGTGTTCCATGTAATGGAACAACATTGACAACACAACAACATATATATATATATATATATATACTTATAAGTGTATATATATACTTATAAGTGTATATATATATACTTATGGTGCGGCCGATTGTAAAAAAGGAGGTGCACAACTACATGTCATAGCAGTCCTATATACAAAATTTCAACTTTCCGAGACTACTCGTTTTTGAGTTATATGAGATACATACATACATTCATATGTACGTACGTAGGTACAGACATCACGAGAAAATCTCTTCTGAATCCATTTTAAATCCTTTTTGTAGCCCGTTTTGGGTAAAAGAGCCCTTTGTTCTGTCCTTACGTACAGATGTCGTCCAAAAACATAATTAAATTGCATTCGATAACGGTCAAAATGGATATTTTCGTTTAAATATGATACCCTAAAATGTTGGCGATTACAACAATTCCTTTACTTTGTACAAAGAAGTGAAAACAGCACAATTTTATTTCTACTTATTTGATAAATTAAGGTTTTTTAAATCAGAAAGTTATTTTTTTCCACGAATTTAGGCTGAAATATAACCTCTTAATAAGAGAATAATTCCGTCATCTTGAATAAAAAAATAAAAAATGCATAAAAAATATTGGAATTTAGGAAATAAAATTTCAAATTACAAATTTTAACGTCAGCATTTTTTATGAAATGTTTTTGACCGAAATTCATAAAAGAAATAACATCAAAAATCACTAAATCTTCTGTACTTTAAAATAGAGAAATTCCATTGCAAAGGGCTAAACAATAAAAGGAAATATCACAGTTTTAAAATTATATATCTACCAAATATTACAATGTTTTTTTTTGGCTATTAGGATTTTAACTTTACTTTTCAGGAAATTTTAGCTTCATATTCATAGTCACAGTAAAATTGTGTACAGACAGCAAATAAAGAAAAGTATATGAGATTAACGATAAATAATGGAAAATTTTGTATCGGAAATACCTGTAAACTGCTTAGACATTTATTATATTAATATTTTGTTTGCATTATTATTATTGTTTATAAGTCTTTAGTTTCATATTGTGCTTAAAATAGGCTATCTTATAAAAACTATATCTTAACTGCTAATAGATTATTTTGAGTATAAAAAATATTTTAATATATTTCTTATTACCATTCCATTCAATATTTGCTGTTGTTGTATTTGATTTATTGTTGTACTTGATCTATTTTATCGATCATATACATAAATTCATTTTCTGAAAGATATGAAAATATAGTACTATCCCAACTTATCCGAATTTGAAGTTACGCGGTTCCTTATTTTCTTTATTTTACACATTTATGTTCGTAATGAATTTGCATTTCAAATTAACAGTAATTCAAAAGGTCCTGAGAAATAAATTGTTATTCTGCCTATACCGTAATAGTAAAACAAATAATATTTTTTCAATAGAATTTAATAATTACATACAATACGAGCATAAAACAACACAGTATGTCCAATTTTCATTTTGCATGATTTTTTGATTTCATTTTTACTTCCTTGTACGAAGTAAAAAGGAAGTATTGTAATCGCGAAAAGTTTCAGGCATCATATTTCAACGCAAATATCCATTTTCACCGCTATCGAATGCAATTTAACGATGTTTTTGCTTGACATCTGTACGTAAGGACAGAATAAAGATTTCTTTTCCCCAAAAAAATTATAAAACTGGTTTAAAATGGATTCAGAAGAGATTTTTTCGTGGCGTCTGTACGTACGTATCTCGCATAACTCAAAAACGAGTAGTCTCAGAACGTTGAAATTTTGTATATAGGACTGTTATAACATGTAGATGTGCATCTCGTATTTTGGTTGCAACCGGCCGCACCAAAAGTGTATAAATATATGTATATATATATATATATCTACTCTCTTACTCGGCTCGGTGATCTCAGTTTCCTTATTCTTATATGTTTGTGAATTGTGCATTTTTTTGCTTTCAAAATGATTGTATTATGTTGTTCTTATCTTCCGGTTAAGGTTTTTATGCCTTTAGTAAATCTGTATGCAATATTTTTAGAATTATCAACAATTTAAAAGTGTGCTAAGCCTAATAATTTTTCCATGGCGGCCATTGCTTGTTTAGTGTAATACTTCTTTAACAATTTGAAGTAAACTCCATTACTGGAATACAGAAAAAACTTTATTTAGCACTCAAAATGGCGACATACAAAACAAAAAAAGAAACGAATTCTAACTTTTTTAAAAATAAAA